AAGATTGGGGGCTATGAATATTATTATTAGACACATTGTCCTTTTCTTTACCTCATCTGAACTCATTATATGTTGGTCATCAGCTCTGAGGGCTGTGCATCATTTAATGCATCAACGACCCCATTGTTGAGAAAACCTCTTGGCAAATGAGTCTAAACATTAGAGATGATTGTTCTGGACCTTATCTAACCTCAAAGCAGGGTTTTTATAGTTAAATGACCAAAAAGAGATGGAATTTAAAGAAAAAAAAAACATGATCAATTCACACTTTCTTCTGTTTAGGTCAAAATTCCTCTCAGCAAGTTATTATATAGAAAGTTAGAAATATTTTTGTAGAAAGAAAGAATGTGGTGAATAAACAGAACAGACCAAAATGTTTATTACAGTGTTTTTATTGAGCTGATCCAGAAGGAGCAATCAGTCAGTGACTGGATAAAATCAGGTGATTTTACTTAGAAAACATTTAACCAATTTAACTGTGTGATTTGGTTGAATTTTCCTTGTAAAATGTCACGAGATTATATGTGATGTGATACAGGTAATGCAGATTGAGAATTGGCTGATAGAGATATTGACCTGAAACAACATTAACACGAATCAAATATACTTTGATCACTTATTTTATACTGTTGAATGTTAGAAAAGGCTTGCTAAAGTAATTTTACTAAAACGGGGAGAACAAAAGTCAACAAAATAAACTGACTCATATAAAATTAACCAAAGAGTTACAGAAACTTTTAACAGAAGCAAAGTATTTTTTATGCACTTTATTATCAGCAGCTTGTCACAAAAAAACAAAAACATGATCTGGTTTCTGTTTTCATCTCTAGCATTTGTCCAAAACAGATCAAATAGGATTTCACCACTATTTTATCTCCAAACGATCAAATTTAAACCTCCTTTAATTGAGTCAATTATAAGTTGAATCCGAACTTTAAAGGTTTAATCTTAAAGGCCGCTAAAAAAAAATGGTGATCAAAACCCGTTTAAAAGGTATAAAAGGATTTCAGGTTCTTTGGAAGCTCAGAAGGGAGAAAACCTGAGGCAGTTTCCAACATTCCTCTGTGTGTTTATATAAAACTACTCTTTAAACATTGATTATTGATAACTAGATGGCAGAGTTACCATTTGTTAGGTTAGTGTTAAATTTTGGGGTAATTTAACTGCTAAAAAAACATTCTATACCTCGATTTCTTTCTCTGATTATATCACAAATGTAATAGTTGGTAGTTTTATTTATTTTTTCTTTTATTTGCCATCTGTTCTTGGAGTCCCTGTACAGGATTTCCTCTCTAAGATGACTGTAAATTGTCTTTATAGCCTCTCGGTTTACTTATTATTATTTAACTGGCTTAAAAAGGAGAGAAATGTTAAAAAAGGAAAAACTTATGATCTGAGGTCAATAATGGGTCTAAATCACTTTAGGTTTTATTTTCTCTTAAATTCTCTGCTGTTTTATTCCCCTACAGTACCTCTGTGAATGTGGATGTAGTTATCTGCAGCCATTCTATGCATGCATTTCTGCAGGCATAGAATGCTAATGCAGATACAATCCTGCATGCATAAAGTCTAGCATTACCATGTGGTAGAAAATGTTCATATCCCTTGATATCCTTAAATATTGTAGCAGAACCATCTCTCCAACAAGTCTTTTGTTTTCCTTTTATCTAAACCCTTCTCTTGCAGCTCTGGCTGGATGTTTAGGTTCTTGTTTAACAAAAAGTCAAACTTCGTTTGCAGACTCTTAAGGTTTTCTTCCAGGCCATACTCACCTTCTTTTATCTTCTCTGACTTTTCAAGCTCTGCTGAGAAGAGCTTCCCCTCAGCATGATGCTGCCACTACTTTTTCATAGCCTGTTTGACGGGATAGCCGGGTTTTCAATGCACAGCTACAGACTAGAAAAACTGTCTAAAAATAAGTAAATATTCCTTAAATTAAGTGTACTTACCCTTAATTTGAGTGAATTTGATGGAATGAGTATTTTTACTTTTAAAATAAGAACAAATGCACTTATTTCAAGAAAAAAATGACTTATCTAGATTTTGATTCTTTCCAGTGCAGTAAACATGATTCACAATAAATATCGTATCTAATGTTTAAATTGTCTAAAACAGCCGACGAAGAAACCGCCTCATACCACAGCGTAAAATAAGTCCTATTCTTGAATGAAAATAACAACCAAATACTCATTAGTTAGAAATGTTGACATTTTGTTGTTTGATCAGTAATGAAAGTCTCAGACTTTCATTATATTGATTTTGCAATATCACAATATATTGCGACATTTTTGTGAGCTATCAAAATTAAATGTATAAATAAAAAAGTGCTGTATGTGTTCATCAGAAGATATTGATCTTTCAGTTGTTTGCGGTTTAAGTCGGTCCACGTCTTCCACTTTGACTGCCTCGACAACAGATGTGGGGCTGCGTCGCGCAGCAAAAGGGTTCCATAACGCGGTGCAAAGGTAGCCCCTTTTCCCAAACTGTTTTAGGTTAAAATGTTTAGCTTCTTTAAGTCGATAATGGGAACTAAAAGATCGATATTATATCGGGCAACCGACAATCACGATATATTGCGATTTTTTCCTACAACGCTACAAAGCATGCGGTCTAATATAGGCATAGACCAGTATCGGATATTGCAGGCTAACAAAGACCTCAACAAATCCCATTGCTAAGGGTTGGACCTTTCCTCCAGGTCAATTGCATGTTTTCTGAGAAAAAACAAGGTTTTTGGGCTAGAATATAAAGCTTGGAATTCAAAGTTAATTCTGACATTTTGAACTGAAAAAGCTTCCTGGATGGGATAGGGTTGTCAAAAGTATCGAAACTCAAAAAAGTATCGATACTGAAATGTTGTATCCGGATACAATACTCGTTTTTAAAAGTATCGATACAGTGCCGTCACCAGTGGCACCTAAGCAGTCATTCATCTAAAGTGCAGAATAGAGGACAATGCACTTTCTGAACACTGTGTGATTGAATAATTCTGAGCTCTTTTCGGTTTCAGACTTTTTTTTTGTAAGAGGTGCAGCTGCTGAGAATTATTTTTGTTTCTTAACTGGTTTGGCTAGTGTCATTGTTATGTGTGCAAAGCATAGCCAAGGAAGGAACACTTAATTTGAATTTTATACGTTTTTTATCAAGCTTGCATAATATTGTGCACAGCATACAACCTTTATTGTGTTTATTTATTGTATTTTATTTATTAATGAAAATATTTCTGTTGAATTTTGGAGTCTTTGTTTTTATCCTTGTGGTATCGAAAATGGTATCGAGTATCGAATATTTTCCTTAGTATCGGTATCGAGTTGAAAAGTTTAGTATCGTGACAACCCTAGGATGGGAAGCAAAACATCCTCAAACTTGGAAAACAAAGTCCAGGGAGTGTTTTTTTTTTTTTTTTTTACTTTTTTGGCACACAGTCCAAAAATCAGTCCAATGCAAACTAAAACATTTAAGAACTAAAAAGTCATTATACAAGACTAAATATAAAATACTGCAGATATTTCTGTTTTCTTATTTTTGAAACATGACTGTAATAGCGTCTGTGAAGCAGCAGATGTCAGTAGTGAGCAATGAATGAACCTTTAGGCAAAGCAGTAGATTGGAAAGCTTCATTCGGCCATCACTAGTTTTAAATCCTCATACGGACATTAGATTAAAGATAGCTTGATAAAAATGTGATATTATTCATATGTCAGAGCTTGCGATTGTGACAAAGTGTGAAAAAGAAGCGGGTCATGTTTGTTCATTATGTTTAATTTTCAAATAACTGATGACAAAATGGGAATATTTACAGGAGAGAATATTAGGAGCTGTACAAAGAAATATACATGCAAAGATAAAAAAAAAAAAAAAAGAAATCCCACAATGTTGCCTCAAACATGTAAAATGATCAAACAAATAAAAACAAATGCAACAAAAAAAGGTGGAAAAACTAAAACTGAGGTATCCAGTCCAAGTTTCCTTGTTTTTAACGGCCTGTACACAATTATATCACAGAATCAAAAGCTAAAAGGAGAGATCAGCCTTCCCTCACTTTCATTTTTTATAGTTATAACACAAATTTATAGAAGAAATAATTTGGCAGCAAGTTAGGAACACAAGGAAATAAAATCATTTGCCTCCTAATTAAGTTAATTAAAGATCTAGTTTCTGTTCTCCTTCAGTCTATTTATAAAGGAACAAAAGGGGATTAAACCAGGAGTTCATCCGACACTCCTTGAGTTTTATTTCTGTAAACAATCATTTCAAAAGGTCATTGATTACCTAAACATATTGCAATAAAACCTTTTTTTTTCTTAAGTACTATAAAGCTAGAGCAACTTTGGTGTACCAACACTACAGGCATACAGTACAAAATGTGTTAAATTAGTTTTGATCGAACCAAAATCTGTAATATCATCATATGATTGTAGATTGTGAGCCTAGAGCGGCCTGGCGGTCAGACACTCCACAGTCAAACACAAACTACCAGCAGTGCTCGCAGTACCAGGTACATGCTTTTCTCTACAGTCATTACAGGTACGACAGATGTCTTCATAAATAGTTGCATAAAAACCTTAAAGCCGCAACATTGCACATGATAATCAAACAGAACATACGGTGAGTGCATTTACACGGAAAGATTTCTCCACATTCACTTGGTTTCCGTGGCGACTGCTGCCGCCGCCCAGGCTCTGACGGTCCTGCGTCCCGAAGCAGGAGGGTGAATGTGGGAGGAGAGAAGGCAGAATTATTTACAGGGTAAGGCTTAAACATGTCGTTATCTGCGACTTTTGATCGGGGGGGGGGGGGGGGGGGGGGGGGGGGGGGGGGGGAAGCGTTGCTCCTTCCAGGTGCAGACAGTGCAGCAAGGTCAACGTGGCGTCTTTACGACGATGGGTGTAAGCACAACCATCAGAGCACTGCCTGAAGCAGCGCAGCCATCTTTTTTCCTTTTTAACTTTAAAACAAAGAGATCTTTTTTAAAATATATTGTTTCTATAACATAGAGTTAAAGTGAGTGTAAAAGAATAAACAAAACGTCGATGCCAACTATCGAGGCTCGTTCAAACAGCTCCTCTAATCAGCTTTAACTCCTATGAAGGAAAATAAGTTACTATATTAATGTTTGTTTTGTTCGTTTTAAAGTAGAAAACGTTAGCAAGCAGCAGTAGACGAGGGCATCCTGTCCTTTGTTTGGTGATGTTCTCGGGGCCTCTGAAGCTCCATAGTTTCCAGCTGAACTGCCGGCAGGACTACGGCGTTTCTGAGTGATGTGAAGGAGGATAAGATCAGCGTACGGACTGAGGCGTTCTCCTGCTTCGTCTCCAGCGATCAGAGGAAACCAAAGGATCAGGTCTGAGACTGAAGACGACTCTGGATGAAGCTCCTGACTCCTCCGATGGGCCGCGCGTCCGTCTGGTGTTTCCTCCTGTCGATGAAGGAGATGAGGCGCGCCGTGTCCAGGCAGCTCTCTCCTCGGCCTCGCCCGTCACCCTGAGGGGCCTGCACCCACGGTTCCTGGAGGCAGAGCCCGGCCGGCGGCCTCCTGCTGGGGTCGGTCCTCAATAGCAGGCAGACGAAGTCTCTGGCGGCCTGGCTCACGCCGTGGAAGTAATCCCTGGGGAAGCTGAAGTCCAACCTGCAGATGTTGAGGCACGTCTCCTCTGCGCTCTCGTCCAGGAAGGGAGAGGCGCCGCTCAGCAGCACGTAGGTCACCACTCCCAGGCTCCACAGGTCAGAGGTCAGCGACACGGGCTCTCCTAGAACCAGCTCCGGGGAAGCGAACTCAGGGCTCCCGAGGAGAGGGTGAACATAGAGGGCGCTGTTGAGCTGGACAGCATCTCCAAAGTCTGTGAGTTTGACCACAGGCTGGCCGCTGGCGTTATGAGCCACCAGAAGGTTCTCAGGCTGGAACCAGAGAAGACAAACCATTAAATCTGTACTGTTACAGGGAAATAATCTCACAATTGATTCTATGGGGATGTTTTAGTTTTATAGAGACAGAGAATCTGGTCTAATGGGGCTAATTATGAGCGAATCTCTGGATCCTGTTAGACGAGCTTTAAAGGAACTCCTCTAAAAATCCAGCTGGAAATAGGAAGCCTGTTTAACGGAGGTCTCCAACTCCAGTTATCAGTCCAAAACAAAACAAAAAACTGTTGCAAAACTTTAAAATAGCTGATCACAAACTAATGCTTCTGAATAGCAACTAAATAATAAAACAAACTTTAATCCTTAGACATTCAGACCTGGTAGTGGCATACTGTAAAAGCATGATCAAATCAAAAAGTAAGTTTCATTTAGGTGGTTTTAACTATTGTACAGCTATAGTTGGACTCTGGGTACCAATAGCCATGCTGATATGAACTTTGATCATCGACTGAGGAAGATGCAGTTTGTTCTACATCATCAATCTCCATCCAGCAAATCCTCTCTCACAAGATATTCCTACAGACACATCCTGATCCCCACCATGCTCGGGGACAAAGGGGATCAACTCACAGACTCTCTTTTAATTTGAGATTCTCCTGAGATTCATATTGTAATGACCCCATAATGGAGGGCCACAAGCCAAGGGCCCGAATCAGGCTAACTTTGGAGCCAGTTTGCTGCAAAAACAGACTGCCCTGCAATATTTCTCCAGAGTTAAAGGAACTTCCAGATGCCTGAAGAGGCTGGGGGTGTGGAGCACCGCTGCAGTGTCCCTGCTATGCTAAGCAGCTGAGTGCTGGAGAAAACTCAACCTGGATTCGCCAGCCAATGTTCTATTTTTAAAAATTCAACCTGTCATAAATGTTTATAAAACATTCATGTTTCACAGGTTTGATTCACCCAAAGTTATATTGAAGTTTGATCTTGTATGGTGAGAGACTATAGTATTACTTAACATGACATCCATTTCAGCGTATTGAATTTGTTAGGGAACTTACTTTTACGTCCAGATGAACTATTCTGCAGTTGTGCAAGTAGTGTAAAGCTTCTAAAACGCTGCGCAGGTAGGAGGCTACTTTCTCCTCCGTCAGGTTCCCCCAGCTCACTATATAGTCCAGCAGACGGCCCTGGTCGGCCCTGAAATAACAAACCATCGTCATGCAGCAGACCCAGGAGCAGCACGTCTAAAGCTCAATATATTGGTACTTACATCTCCAGGACTATAGCGTAGCTGCTGGAGTTTTCAAACGTGTCGACAAGGCTCACTATGTGAGGGTGCTGCAGTCTTTGAAGCAGATTGAGTTCCTGAGTCACCTGATCTCTCTTCATCAACTTCTTGTTCACGTGTTTGACGGCTACCGTACGTTTAGTACCCCGGTGATCGCAGCGTTTGACAACAGAGAAACGACCCCTGAAGAAGAAAAACAGGTTTTTATGTTTTGCTGTTTACAAACAGGCAGAAAAAAAGATTTCCTATCAAACATCTCTGTTGAGGTAAATTACCTTCCGAGTTCGGCCACCTCGGTGTACTGAGACTCAAAGTTGTCCTTCCAGCTCACTCTGAGTCCATCGGTGGACACGGCTGAAAGCCAAGGACAGGCGTCAGAATCATCCCTCACACAGATGATGAACGATAGGATGTTTTACTCTCTTACCTAACACTCTGAGGCTAGCTGAGGACGTCACGCTGCCCAGTTCGTTAGTCGCGATGCAAGTGTAAACACCATCGTCCTCGGAGGCTGCACCGATTATCCGCAGTGTTGCTTCCCCCGAATCACTGATTATAAAAACAGAATTAATTAGAAAAACATTGGTTATAAAAAAACAAAAAAGTGCAATCATAGTGTTTGTGGTTTGGCTCCACCATCCTTGTAATAGAAAGATCTCTCTTATTCAGAGCATTGCTAAACCACTTGATTGATGTGTAAAAAAGTGTTTACAGCTGCCTCGCCTGCATGGATCAGCAGAAAATCCACTTTGGTGTAAACTAGAGTAAGACACCATCTTTCCCACTCAAACACACTTATTTGCCTCATTTACGTGTTTTTTCTTGCTTGACATTTTGCCAGTAATGCCTAAGGCCAAACAAGGTCATCCCTTCACCATCATCAAATAGGAGGAGCTTCCATCTGCTCGTTTCAACTCAGCATGGCAGACCTGGACCTTCCAGAGTGAGTCAGTGTGGTTTAGAATTAATGGAAGCTGAATGGGAGCTATGGCTACTTCTGTCTGAGCAGGGTTAAAACTGTTCTCCTGCTTCAGGAGAGGACATCCTGGTTGAAAGAGGTAAGATGTGGAGGCCCACTGGGCGGCTCAACCTGAGTGGCTGCATCTCTGCAGCTCCCCCAGAGTTAGCACAGATGTCTTTGGCTAACGTTTTCCCTGCTCAGCATTGGAGTTTGTGCACAACCTGTTCCAGTCTTGGATATATTGTTTTATTTGTATAAAAACAATAAATGCCGACCTTTATTGGTCTTATCCACAGTCTGTTTAAAAATTGTTTAGAATATATATCTAAAAGAAATCTGAAAACATATTAGGGTTGTTAGAACAGCTATAACTAAATGTCAGTGCAGATTCTTAATCATCCAGGTCACAGTCATTCCAAAAAAGTTAAAGCTTTTTCAATTCAAAATGTCAGAATTAGCATCGAGTTCGCAGCTTTATATAAAAAACTTGCCTGCTGTCCACCTGCACCTTAAGGAAAAGGGACACTCATTTGAGGAGAAAGAAGGCAGGTGGTTTCAAAGGGGTATGAAGGAAGCAATTTATGTTCAGAAAGAAAATACAACCTTAAACAGAGGGGGGGGGGGGGGTTGGATGGGAAGCTCTGATGCTACGTTCAGACCGGACGCAGCAAAAGCAGCAAAATCGTGTCTGCTGCTTCATTTTTGCTGCTTGTACCAGTTAGTTCTGACGCGCGGCTGAAGCAGCTTTGCTGCTCTGGCTGCGCGGTGCAAAAGTGTGTCTGACGCGCGTTGGGCGGAGCTTCACTATCCTTTCTCTGCCTTGCAGCTATATTTGCTGTGATCAGTGGGAATAAAGTAGTTTTAATATGTTTTTAAGTGAGAAAGTCCACCTGAAAACTTCATCAGTGCAGTCAGCTCATCCAGATTACAATCCTGCCTCCCAATGTTATTTCTGTCGGAGCCGCTCAGACCCTCACATACCGGCGGTGCGCCGACAGAAGGAATCCATTCATCAGCAGCCTCTGGCCGGGTCGCCTCCTCGCGGTTTACTGCGGCGGCTGGTAGGTGTTTTTCATCTAAATTATCTGATCTGCAGGCACCAGAATAATAAAAGCGAACATATTCTGCCGGCAGATGTATATATTTTAAGTTAATTATGCGTTAATAAACTGTTTAAGAGGAGTAATCAGAGCGGTCTGTGTCATCAGCGCTGTGTCTCTCTCCCAGCCAGCTCCCAGATCAGCTTCTCTGATTGGTGACGCAGCGCGTCGAGCAGCAAAAATTCAATTTTTCCATCTCGAGCAGCAACGCGTTTGCGGCGCGTCACATGCTTAAACGCGCCCGAAGCGCTGATTCAGATGCTCAGACGCGCTGCGCCTGCTGCTCAAAACGCGCCGCGGGACCTTTTGCTGCGCCTTGACGCGCGTCAACCATTGACTTTGCATGTAAACTCGCTGCTTCTGTCGCGCCAGCTGCCCCCGGTGTGAACGCAGCATGAAAAAACCTACAATGCAGCGATAGAAATGATTTCTTCCCGCCATCACTTCAACCCCCCCACCCCCATGCAGGGGACAAAACATCTGGCCTGGGCAGCCAAGCCAACAATTGCCCTGTATAGCGACTCCCCTTTCAGAGGCATAGATCAGTATCGGGTATTGCAGGCTAACAAAGAACCCAAAATGACTCCCCATTCCTAAGGGATGGACCCGTTCTTCTAGTTCAATTTGCACATTTTCTAAGCATGTTAATTCTGACATTTAGAATTGAAAAAGCTTCCTGGATGGGAAGCGAAACGTCTTCAAACTTGAAAACAAAGTCCAGTGGATTGTTTTTAATGTATTTTGAATGGCCATAACTAAAGACAGCATGAAGAAGAGAACCAGTCTACTGCTACAGATTAAACTCTGCGGGATGTGAAGGCCTAATAAATAGGTGAAGGTGATTGGTTGGTTATTTCTCTTCATGATGTTGGCTGGTTATAAAATGTTAGCATGATGTTCTTACAGGTGTGGCTACAGCTCTGTGATTCTGACCTGTAGGCGATACTGAAGTGCCCGTTGTTGGTGAGGTTGTTGTCGTTAGGTCCTCTCCAGGTGACGGTGGTGCGGGGTCGACCACAAACCTTACATCGTAAGGTGACGCTCTCACCATTGTCGCAGGTCACGTTCCCCAGGGGTACCAGGAAATCTGGGGGAGCTGATGAAAACAGAGAAGAAGCCTGAATTAATCCAACGGCTTCCTGTCAGAAGCATCGAAGAAGTAAAAACCAAAGTCAACACTTACCATCGTAGATGTAGTTTGGGTTTAGAAGCTGTGAAAACAGAAGGAAGGGTCAGATAAAGAAAGTCATCTTCTAATGACAGCTGTCCTTTGATTTTCAAAAACTCACCTTTACAGAAACTTTGTTGGTCATTCCATCTCTGGACTTCCTGTAACCGTTCTCCAGCTTGGTCTCCTTCTTCGCCTCCTTTTCCTTCCTCTCAGACTTCTTGCGTATGCGCAGAGATGTGTGCCAAGACGAAGCCTTCCTGCTGCAACTACAAACACCAACGGGTTGAGCTCGCACATTTCTGGACAGCAGAGAAAGACTCCTCAGGTCAGGGAAGGAAGACGTCTTACTTGATGGGCCCGTCGGAGGAGTCGGAGGCGACGGCTGAGGTGTGTCCCAGCACAAACCCGGGGATCCAGCCCTCGGCGGCGGGGCCCTGTTCAGTGGCCGCCCTGAACACCAGGAACATGTTCTGCTGGTTACTGGCCAAGATCTGGACCACTTCGCCCTGGCTGACGCTGATCTCATCCTCCTTCACGGCCATGTAGTCCTGGGTCACCAACATGGTGGATACGCTACTGCTGCTGCTACTTTCACTCTGTGCAACAATGGAAAAAAAAGACACGGTTATGAAACTGCTAAAGAAAACTGACAAAAAACGAAAGATGACTTTTTTTTTTTTATAGAATCAACTTCTTTCACCCAAAAGAACCCTAAAGATTCCCTCTCCAGCTGCCTTTGCAGGAAATGGCCAAAGATGAGACGGGGAGCGTTAGGCTGAATGAAAGGATCCGAGTACGTTTGTGATGGAACCACAAACGTCAGATTGTTAGTTTGCAGGAAAAGTAAGTTCAGTCACACACCATGAAGACAGCAGGCAGCCAAGAGGAAGGAAGATTGTTAGTTTAAGCTTTGGTAGATCACAAAAGTTGGGGAAAGAAAAGCTCAAAGAGATCATTTAGTGAAGAGTCTCTCCTAGAAAGAGTTGAAACTTTCGAAGGATTTTGTCATGAGAAGTGATCTAAAGCAGTAGAGAGGTGCTTAGTGGGAGCAGATTAGTAGTGCTGCTGCAGCAGGAGACGCCAGGCTTCCCTCGGCCTCTGTTAGTGCAGTCAGCGCTGGGCAGCGCAGGCTGGTCTTACCCCGTTACTCTGGGTGGACTGGATGGACTGCTCACTCGCAGATGAGCATGTACTCATTCGATCAGCCTCTTTGCTGTGCGTGGAGTGTCTGTGGGCTTGAATCCCAGAGCCGGTCGTGGTCTGACGGGCCGGGGTCTCCCCTGCCTCCCCTGGGAAGGTGAACGAGCCAGGCCTGCTGGCTGGAGAGGCTGGCATTGAGCTCCAAAACCCAGATCCAGCCTTTTGACCAGGGCTGGGAGGGGGAGGAGGAACGGCTTCCTTTCCGAAAGCGGGGGCGGCTGGAGACATGGCTCCTGGCCGCGGTTTGGAAGGCAGAGGCCCCACTGTGGCTCGAGGAACAGGGGCTACAGTGTTGGCGGGTGTGTGGGTCTGTGTCTGCTCCTCTACGGTCTGGGAAGGACGCTTGCCCTGCGTACTGCCCCCTGGAGGAAGCAGGGGAGCAGGACGAGGAGACAGACCTGGATCACAACCGAGCAAAACTCACACCTCAGTCACAGCCTTCAATGTACCATGAAAATAAAAGAAATAAAACCTTCCTGAATACAGACTGGGGGTTCGTACCTAACATCTTGTTGGGGCCCTCTCCATCGGCCCCAGCATGGTGCCGTAGAGGCTGAGGCAGACGGGAAGGCTGAGGAATCTTGGAGGGCCGTCGAGAGACGCCCTGAGTTCCAGATGGGACGGTGCTGCTCTGGGAGACTCCGCCTCCAACTGCAGGAGACGCGCCACTGATGCCTCCTCCTTGAGCTCCCACGCTGCTGCCCACGTGGTTCCTCTGGTACTCTGCTGGGGAAGACAGAGCTGTGAGGCCATGAAGAAAAAAAAAAAGAGAGAGAAGAGCTCCACCAGCAAACACCAACAACCCGAGTGTCTGTCTGAGGGTTTACCGTTGAGGAAGTTCCTCTGGCTCTCCAGTATCTGGCTGATCTGAAGCGTCCAAACCTCACACACACCCGGATGGGAGGAGTGAAGTACGAAGGACTCCAAAGTCCCACTGGTTGAGCGAGAAGTGAGGATACACTTACAGGGATCTCCTTCCACGCTCTCTTCCAGACCCAAACAGCTAACCTGGATAACAGGAAAGCCGCCTTAACATCCAGCTTAACCAACTTTACATCATTTTAATTTGCCTTGTAGCCTCATCAACCTTAATGCTGTTCTTGTAGATGAAGCCTGGCAGGGAGAAGCCTTTCTTCTTGTCCAGGGGCTCACTGAAGATCACCAGCTGCTCAAACAGGAACACCCTCCTCTCCTTCATTCTGCCGTCTGGGTCGGACACCATGAACGTATCCTGCAGCAGGAGGCGACCCTGAGCTACAATCTTCCCCTGAAACGAGCAGGTCTTTAAATTAACACATCGAATCGCACAACTTAGCATAAATCAGTTTTTAAAAAAAGGTGCTCTTATCCCTTTAACTTAAGCCCACTTTGTCATATTAAAACACTGATCTGTACCGTTTTTAACAGGATTTCATGTGATAAACAATGTGACACAATCAGCTTTAAAAGTCTTATTGGATTTTTAAATACGCTAACTGGCATTTAGCATCTTTCTTCCACTCCTCAATTAGCCACCATTTATATGAACAGAAATTTGTTTTAATATTCATAAAAGCAAATGATACATTTAAAAAAAATTACTTTAAAAAACGTCTTTATAAAAAAGGTATATATATATATATATATCTATATATATATAGATATATATATATATAGATATATATAGGAATTAATATAATGCATATTAAAAATTTCTACTAAACTTAATGATTTTATTTGTTTAATTTTTTAACAAACATAAAAGGCATGGATGCAGGGTTGGCTTTTTTCTGTTGGTCGCCGCACAGACCTATGAAAATGAGGCTTTATTCAACACTTCTGAGAAAGCCCCGCCCCCCGAATTGTAGAGGGTAAAATCAGTAGAACTGGAAAAATTTTAATTTCACATGGAAAACTGAGACTCCAAAAAAAACTAAACTAAAAAATAAAATTCGAAAAAACTAATGAAAAAAAAAGGGTAAATAACATATAAATATCATCCAATATCAATTTTTTTCCGAAATAGTTATTTTTTCCCCCCTAAGATTATTGGAACAAATTTCTCTCCATACATGCTGGCCATCCTTTAATTTTCTGCTAATGTGACTCTATGTAGAGGGTCACAGAGATTGTTGGTTACTATGAAACACGTACATCAAATCCTTGCAGCCGCCCCACATTCATCATGTCGTTACACCTTTTTGGCACGATGCACATCAACTCCACTGCTTTCTGTAAGAGGAGGACATAAAAAAAAGGCTTCAATTGTTTCTAAGTCACATGTCAAAGAAAAAGCTTTCTGGAAATCCTCTTACCTCTAAATCTGGACACTCTAGTCCAGCCTTTTTAGAGTGTTTGAGGAAATCCTAAATAAAAGAAACAAAACAGTCCAGGTGAAGGATTTCTTAGAGGGAAGAAAGTAGCAGCTGGGGGTTTGGCGCCCTCTGCTGGTCAGTTAGGACCAACCTTAAGCAGCAGCTGGTATTTCATGATCCTTTGGACGGGTTTGATAAGCAGGTCTGTGATCGGCAGCCTGTGTCCCAGCCTCTGCTTCAAGTCCTACGTTATAGAAAAAAACAAAACAGAGGCCGGTAATGTGATGCGTTGCCCCAAGGCAACAAGGGGCCCCCAAACTATTGCAAACCCCAACTATTGCAAATTTTTTTTTTGCATGTATGATGATTTTTGCATGATTTTAGTAACAAAATATGGCAAAATATAACATATATCTTTTGTGCTATTGAATATATTTGATCATTATCATAAGTAACATAATAAAATTAAATATGTGACTAATTTACGCTTATTTCCAAATATTTACCTTGTTTCAAGGACAAATGATCAAACTTAAAAATTTACTTTTGAAACCATTTTGACCCTTTTTCAGGTATTTTTTAATTTACATCATTAAGCTGGGTATTTACCGTAATGAATTATGCCTGTTTTTGAAAAACAGTTTATTATTTTATTTATCTCTCCATAATATTAAATATTGTTTTCTGTTGCTCTTACAGCACAGATTATTTTTGCTATTTTTTTTTGGGAGCCAAAAACGATAAACATAATGATACTTTCACCGTAAATAGCAAGACCTACGTATGGGATAATGTAAACACCACGTCCAGATGAAATGGGTCTTTTGTAGGTTTATGAATCAGACATTAAAGCAAAGAAAATAAAAATAAAACAAGCCGTGCCAGGAGGGTTTGGAGGCATGGGATCAGAGATTGCATGAATGACTGAAGACTAAATTTGACTTTTGAAAATCCAATACCAAAAACGTCCAGAAGATGGCAGAAGTGCATCTATATCTAGTGTGAATGAGAGATGGTGTTGGGCAAGGAAAGCACAACCCCTTTTTTTTTACTCGCATTCAGGGTCAGTTATTGACGCTGGTACATCAGCTGTTGCCGTAGCTCCTGGCTAACATATAGTGTGTGCGACCGCACGAACAGCAGCTTGATGACCAGGGTCTAATTCATGTCTGCGCAGCACCTTTTTGCAGCTGGATGCGTGAATAAGCTTCCTGGAGCCCAGCGTGCCAGAGTTCATGAACTGCATTGTGCCCACTTCATGCAATTCCGTTTTCTCTATCGTCCTTATCTCTAAGTTTCATTTATTTATCTTTTAACTTTAACACATCCTGCATTAAATGGAGCCATAAACGGCGCAAGGTGACTTTCAGTGTAGAACTACGGTGGGTATCTGGCGACTTGAGCAAGAAACGAGAGGAGGAGGTACACGCTTTCCTAAAACCCGCCCCCTTATTCTTCTGATTGGTTAATACTGTTCGTTTCAGAGCGCTTCTTTGCAACCATTGGCTGACAAACACAAGAGGGATTTCGATCGTCTTTTTTTTAATTTTATTTACTGTCAATTTATTTTCCAGTGATTTTTTTTTTTACCCCTGGGCAATCACTATGAGCTGGAAACCCGGCCTGAGGGCGGAATACTTTAATCCCTGGTGAATGTTTTGATCATGTGACTGTGGATTACAGCGATCCATATAATTGACAATATAGTTACATTTTACTTAGGGCCCTTATGGATGCCCCTTTTAGTTAAATAACCAAAACGTACCTCAAAATAGGTGTCGATGTAATCGGACACGATGTGCTCTGATTTGGGCTTGTTTTGACAGTACATGACGTACATGTTTAACCTGCGTTCCTGCAGAAGAACCCAAAGGGAAAAGTCAAATACAGAATTTTATATGTTTAAATGTAGGAAAAGGGATATTTAAAACAATAAAAAAAAGCAGACCTGTTTGAGAAACAGTGGTCCCAGTCTGTCGGGGTCCTCCAAACATTTCTCCAACTCCCTGAGGAAGAAACTGAGGCACAGGAGGAGGACAGCGTTAGCTGGCTGGTGACTGAGCAGAGGGAAATCTGCTCTCTGTGTTTTGGACATACTCTTTGTGCCAGTCGTAGATCTGATGGATGTTTCCAAACACGACTTTATCCTTCCCCCTCATGTCGTCAGGAACACCCTCCTCCTTCATCCTGCTCATGTAGCCCTTAGAGACGAGACAAAATAAAAAAATTATCACTTTAAGCCTAAAGATGCGGCATAACTAAGAGAAAGCGTCATCTCACTTCAACAACGAGGCTGAGATCTCTGACGTACTCTCGCTCCGTCTCTACCAGCTCCAGCAGAACATAACTAAGACCAAAATAAAAAGGATTCAGATTAGAAGAAAACTAACATGTAATAAATGAGCGTGTTAGATGGCAGCACACTGACTGTCTTTTCTTCAGGATACTGGCTCTGCGTTCATCCATCTCTTCCCCGGGGGAGGAGGACGACAGCAGGGAGTTATCAGAGGGGTTGAAGGAGGGGGAGCTGCTGTCCCCCTGTTCTACAGACAGAGAGCTGGGTCTGTCCTCCAGAGCCTGGATCGGGACAAGGAGATGGACGCAGATGAGGAACCATGTGACGAAGTCCAGCCTTTTTAGTTTTTACTGCAGTTCTGTTCTTTACATTTCAATTAACAGGATCGGTAAAATGAAGACCAGCTTTGCTGTTTAAATTATTTATAAAGAAATCTTTATTAAAATGATGTGTTAACAGCCTTAGCAATAATTAGCTGAATTTATCTGAAAGGTAAAAAGCTGGTTCGCCCTACATAAGAAAATGAATAAAGCATTTTTTTAATTGAATTGAAAAACCACACAGTTTCTGAATTTTATTGATTTTCAGCTTAACCTTTTAAATTTTGTTCATTTTTAATTACAGAAACCTCTATAAGCTTTCTTCTTTCTACTTGTTTCCCACAGTCTCATCCAAAGTCTTTCTATTCAGACGGACAGATAAATATTTAGCTTTTATCTCGACAGTTCCTGGCTTCTTTCTGATGTTCTCTCAGTCCTCTAGATAAGTGGTTCCCAACCTTTTTTTGACTCGTATACCCATTTGGGCATTATGTCTCACTACCAGTTCCCCTTTCAGTCAAAATCACTGATGATTTTCCAAAAGTGAAACGCTATAAAACTGATTAAAAACTATTTTACTTAATCTTATAATATGAGCATGCAATTATTAGGTATTTTATGCTTTCCATCTAAAATACAAAAACAACAATAAATATGTTGCCTGGAAGTTGGTAAGAAATAAAAATAAATACAAAATGAAATCATATTATAAACCTTAAGTAGTTTTACTTTGTCTTTACGAACACTCCTGAGCTGCTTTGATGAGCTCAGATAGCTCAGTGTGACAAACAGCTGATTCCAGGCTGTTCTCTACATCCAGTCTGTTCCTCTGCTTGGGTTGGATGTGTATCAAAGCTGAAGGCGAACTCAAACATATAAGAAAAAAGTAATTTTTGGTTGATAAAAGCTTGTTTAATTTTACATTGGATCCCAGCACTATTTTATATTACAACCTAATAAATAAAATATGTGCGAGTACAATTAGGTTGGGAATCACTGATCTAAAGGATTTAGGTCTGAGACCATCCAGGCAGCCTGATTTAATCTATGATTTCCGTTTTTAATAAAACCTCAGAGTATTTACCAGAGGTCAATTTCTTGTAAGGTTCAGCCCACAGCATCATGAATCCCCTGCTGTACTTAACAGTGGGCATGATGTAATACAGGTGCTGGTCATAAAATTAGAATATCATGAAAAAGTAGATTGATTTCAGTAATTCCATTTAAAAAGTGAAACTTGTATATTATATTCATACATTACATACAAACTCATATATTTCAGATGTTTATTTTGTTTAATTTTGATGATGACAAATGACAACAAATGAAAATCTCAAATTCATCATATCAGAAAATTAGAATATTGTGAAAAGGTTCAAAATTGATGGCCCCTGGTGCCACACTCTAATCAGCTAATTAACTCAAACCACCTGCAAAAGCCTTTAAATGGTCTTTCAGTCTAGTTCTATAGGCTACACAATCATGGGGAAGACTGCTGACTTGACAGTTGTCCAAAAGACGACCATCGACACCTTGCACAAGGAGGGCAAGACACAAAAGGTCATCGCTAAAGAGGCTGGCTGTTCACAGAGCTCAGTGTCCAAGCACATTAATAGAGAGGCGAAGGGAAGGAAAAGATGTGGTCGAAAAAAGTGTACAAGCAAGAGAGATAACCGCACCCTGGAGAGGATTGTGAAACAAAACCCATTCAAAAATGTGGGGGAGATTCACAAAGAGTGGACTGCAGCTGGAGTGAGTGCTTCAAGAACCACCACACACAGACGTATGAAAGACATGGGTTTCTGCTGTCGCATTCCTTGTGTCAAGCCACTCTTGAACCACAGACAGCGTCAGAAGCGTCTTGCCTGGGCTAAAGAGAAACAGGACTGGACTGCTGGTGAGTGGTCCAAAGTCATGTTCTCTGATGAAAGTAAATTTTGCATTTCCTTTGGAAATCAAGGTCCCAGAGTCTGGAGGAAAAGAAGAGAGGCACTTCATCCACGTTGCTTGAAGTCCAGTGTAAAGTTTCCACAGTCAGTGATGGTTTGGGGTGCCATGTCATCTGCTGGTGTTGGTCCATTGTGTTTTCTGAGGTCCAGGGTCAACGCAGCCACATACCAGGAAGTTTTAGAGCACTTCATGCTTCCTGCAGCTGACCAACTTTTTGGAGATGCAGATTTCATTTTCCAACAGGACTTGGCACCTGCACACAGTGCCAAAGCTACCAGTACCTGGTTGAAGGACCATGGTATCCCTGTTCTTAATTGGCCAGCAAACTCTCCTGACCTTAACCCCATAGAAAATCTATGGGGTATTGTGAAGAAGAAGATGCAATACACCAGACCCAACAATTCAGAAGAGCTAAAAGCCACTATTAGAGCAACCTGGGCTATCATAACACCTGAGCAGTGCCACAGACTGATCGACTCCATGCCACGCCGCATTGCTGCAGTAATACAGGCCAAAGGAGGCCCAACTAAATACTGAGTGCTGTACATGCTCATACTTTTCATGTTCATACTTTTCAGTTGGCCAACATTTCGATAAATCCTTTGTTTTTATTGGTCTTCAGTAATATTCTAATTTTCTGATATGATGAATTTGAGATTTTCATTTGTTGTCATTTGTAATCATCAAAATTAAACAAAATAAACATCTGAAATATATGAGTTTGTATGTAATGTATGAATATAATATACAAGTTTCACTTTTTAAATGGAATTACTGAAATCAATCTACTTTTTCATGATATTCTAATTTTATGACCAGCACCTGTATTCTTTTTTGTTTCTGCATTTTTTATTTTATTTTTTTCCTACTTGCTTTGATTCTGTTTTATATTCCTATATTTTAATCAAATAAAGCACTTTGCATTGTCTTTGTACTGAATTGTGCTATACAAATAAATTTGCCTTGCCTTTGCCTTGATGCGCTTTCACTCATCCTGCTTTAAACTGAGCCTACATGAAAGTCTGCTGTCTATAATCTCAGTCTTATTAAAGTTAATCTAACACAACATGTTAGTAGTTAGCATAGAAAAGTCTGATTTCTAACATGACTCTCAAACTATTATCAGACGTGTCAATAGCTTCAAATGAAATGGAAGTTAAGAATAAATGTCCCCAGTATTTGCTACATCTCTGTTAGCAGAAGGATACATTTTGCTCCTGAACTGGTCTTTGCACTTTGACACTTCTTTTACACTTAATTTAACATCAGAAACAGTTGTTTCTGAAAGCTAATTAATTTAACCTACTCCATAAGAGTTTCTTTCTCACAGAGAATAAAATGATGTTTACATAAATTATTTCTTTAGAAAAGACGCTAATAACAAATGGAGGCTGCAGTCTGTGTTTGCATCCTACCATCTTGCTTTTGACCAACTCCTCGATGGCGCTAACCAGCTCTGCAGCACTGGGCGTCTCCGAACTGGATGGACGGACAGACAGACGGGATGACGTCTGGCCAACAATGGAGAAAGCAGAACCGACATTAACACTGATCTGGTTACCGTCAAAAAAACTTCAACAAAACCATAACTGCAGTTAAAAAGGGAATGACTTCTCTAGAATGGTTAAGGGTCATGCTGTCACGTTCAGCTTTGAATGATCTGAATGCATAATAGTTGTCTTCTGTGAATGTTTGTTTCTTTTTTACAGGTTTAGTCATTCTCTGAAAAGGTTCCTCCATTGGTGAGACGTCAGTATTCTAAGAGTTACAGTTAAATTTAATAAAAATAAAAGAAAACTTACAAGAAATGCTGAAAACTATAAATGGAGAGGGGAAAACATGAGGTGGAAGGAAAAAGAAATATGAAAAGAACAAAAATTAATTTAAATATCATTCAAGATAAGAATGTGAGGAAAAAGTGCAATCTGAATGCAAAAAGTTTCTGATGATTTCCTGTTATGGAGGAGAGAATTGCATCAGGGAGAATGGAGGACATTCATGGATGTATTTGTGCACATATAGTTGAGGAGACTCTCACCCTTGGTGTGCTGTGCGCCCTTCTGGCCTCGCCAGCATTTACAGATGCCAATTACTTGCATGGGTAATGAGGTAAACGCACAGAAGGTAAAAAGGGGATGAGGACGAGCGGGAAGGGGTGGGGGGGTGCTGAGACTGGTCAGAGAGGATGGGGTCTGGGGAAGGGGGGTTTCACTTTTCCATTTCAGCGTCTTATTCAGATTGTTATGGAGGAGCTGCCTGCTCTGCTGACAGGGAACCTGCCGTCTCGTCCTACGGCCGATTAAACATGCAGAAATATGCTGCATTCAAGTGCAAGTCGAGCATGCTGAAGGCATGGTGAAGCTGGCAGAAATAAGGCGGTGCATCCCTCAACTGACGGAAACAAAAGCTCCACGCTGCCCTCCACTCGGAGCTACATGTGTCCTCTTTATTTACAACACATTCTAACCTGCTCGTCTGCACGCAGGCGGCTCGGTTACATCTAAAAAAAAAACACGAGCCTGTTTCAAAGGACGAGAAATTACACAAGAATTTCAGGAATGTTATGAGTTTTAAAAAATACAAAAAAAGTGAAATCAGCAAGTTTAAAAAAGAAATAGGCTTTAAGTTGTTTTCCCTAAAAAAAAAAGAAAAGAAAAGAAAGAAAAAGGCTTCAGAAAGGACATGTTTTATAGCCGAAGGGTGGGAAAGAAAAAAGTAGGAAACAAAGAAACAAGCTGAGGGAGGAGACAGAAGGGGAAAGAGCAAAGGCTATCAGATGGAGAGATATGGAAACTGAGACAAAGCAAAGACAGGACATAAATCAAGGTAATGCTACAGCGTGGCAAACAGCAAACAATACAACCAGAAAACAAAACAAAAGAGAAACAGAAATTAGTGTCAGGAGAGAATCTGCTTTAGTCTTTTCTGCTTTAAACCAAATAGCAGGAAATAAGGAAAACAGCAAATGTGTCAGAAAAGGTCATTTAAAGGAAGATAAACGTACTTAATTGTCTTCAGTGAAATTATTTTACAGGAATAAAACAAATGTGTTGAAAAAGAACAAAAATATATTCTAAATTATAAACCCTAATTGTTCCTGCTGATGGGTTTTCTTACTTTGATATCTTATATAAACCTGCTTTTGATGCACGTTCTATGTGATAGACCAACTCAATCCAGTTACCAACACCTTTACTCAGCAGCATCATGTTCAGGCTAACGGCTAACCGCAGACACAGATGGAGCTCTGTCTGCATTCAGTATGGGTCACCAGAGCTGCCATTAAACCGTGGCCATAAGTTTAGATGATCGACTCGGAGCAAAATTCCCCGACATAAAAAAGGAAATCTGTTTTATTTCCCCTCTTTTTTTTCTTTGTCTTTTATTATTCAGAGGTCACTGATAACTACAAGTAAAAGTGCCTGCAAATCTTCAGCCTTATATTTAGGTTTATAATGCTACAATACTACTATACTATAATTTCTGCTGCAATTATATGAGATAGGAATAACTTGTTGGAAAGAAATGAATAAATTGAATCAAAAGCTTTTTGTCGATTCTAATAAAAGCCAAATTTAACACAAATATTATTTATTTTAGACAGACTACAGGGTTTTAATGACAGAAACCTGAGGGCTAAAGCAGGGATGCAACCACTTCTTTAAACTTTGAACAGAAAATGATGAATCAAAGCATCATGGTAGCTTAACAATAAAGTGTTTTTCTGCTAATTATTGCAGGAAGCCTTGAAAAGGTCTGTGAGCTATGAGCCTAAACGCCAAAGAGAGTCTAATATTCCTGAGGCCTGATTAAAAAAACTCTCAGTGGGTAACTCTGGATTATTCCTTTATGCAGAATTGATCTGTAAGTTTTTAGTTTTCTTTATTTTTGCCCTTTTTTATGTGTGTCTAGGTCGAACACCTCCAGGCAAGCCGAAGAGTTTCTTCTACAACAACTAGAACCTGAAATGTTCTGGTGATAAAATCCTGAATTTGGGAGATAAATTGTGTTTATTCTGTGCAAATGTGCAGGTTTGCTGTTTGAGAAAACCACTAAATGCCTTCACTCCTTCATCCACTGAAGGTATTTATGCTACCTGAAAGAGACTGAGAGCAAATCGACTGTTAATGTCTGAAAATGTGGACTTAGTAACTCTGATCAAATTGATTCCTTTTATAGATAACTGATCTAAGCAGCTATAATCAGTTATTCATTGCCAAACCAACCTAATGTTGCACAGCAGACGTGAGCTCAGACTTCTAAAAGGAAGGACTTAGATCATCAGTTGAATGAAACACAATCCCCTGCTTTCAGCTCCATCATGTTCTGCCTGCAAGGACTCATTTCTTATTGAGTAATAAAGCTTCCTTCTATGATTTGTTCATCGATTCAATCCTGCAATTGTTGCACTTCGCAGCACTAGACTGGAGGAGGGGTTCATTTGAAACAGGACAACATAAACATCATCTTGCCGTTTTTGTTTATTAAATTCAAGAAATAAAGGGATCTGAGGGGGAAAAAATTTTTTAGAGAGTAAAATAAATATATTGTGGAGTAAAAAATGTTCATAATGATGGCAAAAAGTGATCTTATGAGAGACGGGAGAAAAAGTTTGGAGAAAATATTTTGTCATGTAATAAATAAAAGATAAACTGACATTTGGAGAATGATGTCCAAGGAAAAAAACTCTCTCAAAAGTATATTTTTACTCTCAAATATTGTTTTTTGCAATCAGTGAAAACATTTTGTCTCGGATTTCTCTCGTTTTTTTTTCTTTTCTCTCTTGAAGTCTTTGCTCCGGATTCAGGATTTTTCATGTGCTCCTATTGGCCAAGTCTCATTAGACTGAGAGCTGAGTGGTGATGTTAAGTGTGTTAAGCCTTTTCTTTTCAGGGCTTTCAGCACAAAAATGCACCTTGCACCTGCGTGCAACCATTTTTTTCAATCGTTGCACGCAGCTACTGATCACACTGTACAACTAATCGCAGGGTTTAGTCTTACAGTGTGAGCTCACAGCTCACAATTTATGTTGGGCCCGACGCTCTCATCCGATCCACCTGCTCACACTGTACGACTAAAAACCACGTCAATCAGCTCCGCAGTGAGATGGAGCTGCTCTGTAGATCTCTATCCAGAAGCCAAACAAATAGAAGGGGAATATTAAGCACTATAGTGAAACGAGCTGCCTTGGCGATTTATGCATTTTTGTGTTGAAAGCCCTGAAAAGAAAAGGTGACAACCTATTTGGAAAAAAGACATGGCTGAGCAAACGTGGATACTACGGTCTGTCAGAACTGCATTTCCCTCATTGCATACCTGCCATGCTGCTGTGTTTACATCAAGAAAAAGAAGAATCCTTCTTTGAACGATTTGCCCACTACGGTCGGGAGAAAATCAGACATGTTTGATTTTCTCCCAACCTCACAATTCCTAGTCGAGAGGTTGTCGTGAGAGGCTGATCGCCGCTTGTAACCCCCTGTACACTACATGACTCACGACACACGATTAGGCTGAAAGTTGGACCAATCAAAAGAGTCTCGCACGACTGGAAAATCGCCCCGAAAATCACACAGTGTGCGCCGGGCTTTAGAGATGAGCAGCCCCTCGCCTGGAATGTGGACGAGAGCTTATTGCTGCGCTGATGGGCGGGATAAAAGTCTGCTGTGAAGCTGGACAGAGGGCTGTCTGCAACTGTGTCATGCAACATACTGGTGGAAAAAACACATTAAACCCTTAGAAACACAATACGACCGTAAGCACTCATCCACATTCCAGGCAAGCCGTTTATTTCGAACTTTCACCTAATGTTGGGGCGAATCAATCTGGGCAAACAACAGTTATAATGATGGAGGTGGAAACACCTCTGCAGCTAATATTACTACTCAGCTGACAATTCTGTTGACACGGCCAATGTGAACACAGGCCAACCTATGTTTTCACATTGAGAGAAAAATCCTGAATCGAGAGCAAAGACTTCTGATTTGAGAGAGAGAAGAATGCATTTTTGAGAGGGAAATCTATTTTTGAGAGAAAATGTTTTCACTCTGAAAAAATCCAGAGTTAAAATGTAGCAGCTTAATGAAAATTACATCAAGGAGTTTGAACTGCACAGCAACCCAATTTCTAATTAAGTATTTATCATAATTATCCATTTATTATCTATTTAATTAACAGACATATAACGGCCATAACAGCAAAATCCTGACACCAGGTGGCTGAATACAAATAAAGGACAACTTCTAGAACTGTGCATCATTTTTCCTCTACTTTACTTTTATACCCAACTTTATTATTGGGACAATTTATCGAATAAAAGCTCAAGAAAATGTAAAACACTAAGTATTTCAGTAAACCAGACTGTTTAGTTGGTCTGCGCTAAAAACCAAAAAGACGCCTTAAAAATTTTACAAAACACATAAATACCAACTTTTTCTTTTCTTTTACAGAGATGGCAAACAACCTTCTCAGTTCTCAGTAAAATGAAAGTAATGTTCAGCAGATCAGCTGTGCTCCATGGCCTCCATGATGCTGCCTGTTCCTACAAAGTTCACCTAAAAATAACACGTGAGGCTCAGAGGAGAGCTGGATTCAACTTAGTGCTGTCAATCGATTACATTTTTTTAATCGCGATTAATCGCATCAATGCCTGAGTTAACTCGCGAATAATCGCATTTTAATCGCAAATTTTTTTTCTGATTGAAAATCATTTAAATACTCTCGATGACATACAAAAAATACATACAGGCTAGGTTTGTGCCAATGTTCTTTTTTTTAAATGAAAACAGGTCACAGACACTGATTTATGCCATAGAAACATATGGCAAGAAGATGGCATGTAGCAAAAAATAACAAATATGTAGCCAAAAAAAAGGCCCTGAAAACAGGCTGATGTAAAAGACAGTCTTTACAGTTAATACAGTCTTTTGAACAAAGACAAGCATTTTACCCTACTGCTATAAAATGTAGTACAGTTAACATTAGATGTTAATTAACCAAGATAATAATGAACAATTTTCAATCAATACATCAAAATCAATAGACCGACATCACTAGATGGAGGTAGTCTATGCTCTAGAAAGTTACTTTTCAGCCTCTTAACAAAAATGAGAACACACACACACCCACCCACCCACACACAGACACACACACACACGATACCGACCTGTGGCGTACACAGAAAGCAAGAGTGCCGTAGCAGATTCCATTTCACCTCAGTAATCTGTTTTCTCAGCGTATTTCAGGTTGCTACTAGTTACCAGACACTCAACTTGTTTGTTGGTGGTGGGGCTTAAAGAAAAGGAACTAGCGTCACCCAGTGTATGAGCGTCTTTTTTCCTTGAGGAGCTCCGCTCTTGAAGCCTATGAGAAATGCATACACTGGGGGAAAATAGCCCCGCCTTCTCGCAGGCTGCAGCGGGATGTACTTGGAAAATTGTACCATAAAACCACATAGCGTTAATCTCACGTTAAAAAAATTATCGCCGTTAAAATGGCCTCGCGTTAACGCGATAATAACGCGATAATTTTGACAGCACTAATTCAACTCATTGAGGAAAAGGTAGCAGGCCTGGGAGTTTTCTTTTATACATGTATGTAATGTTATGAATGTTTTATGTGTATTTTATATTATATATATAAATATATAATATATATATAAATTATTTTTGAAATGCAAAAATGTACGTGGTACGAATATATTTATATTTGGGAGCTGTTTGGTGCGTAAACTCTGCAGCAGCTGAATGATCAGAGGAAATAAGTAGCTGATAACATTTCCTAAATGCAGCACTTTCCCACCTTCCTCCTTAGGATTATCTGGACGATAACCTTCATCCTCACCTTGTCGTCCTGCGAGTCCGGCTGCAGCAGGCTGTGTTGCTGAATGGCCATAGGTGGAGGAAGAGGAACGGAGTCGGCACCCTCCTCTCCTTCCTCCTCTCCGCAGCTCTGCATGCCTGAAGAACTGGACTTGGACAACGTGCCACTGGACAGGCCCTCGTTACGAACCCTCTGTAAACACAGGAACAGTGAAGAACTTCCCTCGCTGCCGCGTTACGTAACTGTACTGTCCAGAACAGAGCATGCATGAATCCACCCACCTCCTCCAGAGTTTCATCCTGAGGCGTAGCAGCGCTGTCATCAGAGTCCTTCTGTGAGCCCATCGTTATCTCTGCACTCTTCCTCACCTCGCGGTTCTTCTTGGCCTTGTGGGGGATTTTCTTCACATGGCCGTCCGCCTTGCCGCTGCTGAGGCGGCGCACGGGGCTGGTTAGCCACTTGCGTAGTGTGTTCCCTTGGAGGTAGAGTTGGACCACAGATTAAATGTTAATCTGCCATGATACATGCTATGAAGGTGATGCTAACCCGCTAGAGGTGCTACCTGGTCGTTTGGGTCCAGGTGAGCTGTGGGAGCCGATGCCATGACCCGGCTGGAGTGTGGCAGAGGATCCTGGCATGATGGAGTCATTGCTGCACACTGACAAGGTGTCTGTGGAAGACAGATTAGATTTTAAGCAATGCGCTTTTAAAAACCACCACCCTGACACAAACTCTTCCGTGTTTTATTGGGATTTTATAGCAAATATTTAAGTATTCGAGAAATTCAATAGTTTTGAGTTTGTATTCAGCACCCTCAGGCCTCCTTTTACTACAGTTACAGCAGCAGACCTTTTGCTGACTGGTTTCTACCAGCTTTGTTTATCAACAGGCTGCATTTTCTGCCTCGTCTAAACCGATCAGCTGGAGCTCACGATTTATTTAACGAGGTAACTTTGTTTAAACCGGGGTGGACATTTATTGTATTGTTTATTATTGTAAATTTTTATATCGTCTAAACATTTAATCCAAATTAGTGACGATATAAAAACTAAAAAGAAAAGAGAAAAAAGGGTAAATTGTTGATTTTCTTTTTCTTTTCTTTTTTTGTCTTTCATTTGTTTCCATCTAGGTATTGGCAAATTTAAACAATATGATTAATTCAGTTAATACAGGAAGTAATAACTGAATACTTAAAGAAGCCTATTTAAAATTTGTCGTTTAAATAGTTGCAATAATATTGTTTATGATTGTTGGGCTCTGATCGCTGGGGCAAGAAGTCACAGCTACATGATCAGCTAAATACGACTTCAAAGAATTAATGAGTGTTTTTTTTGTTATCATAAAATAACGATATATATATATATATATATATAAATATATATATATACATCTTCTGCCTCCATTTATGTTTACTACAGTAACACATGTTGATGTTTATTGAAGACCTCTGCCCTAGATCGTAAAATATTTTTCAGCCTCTAACAGATTTACTTTGCATATTATATCCCAGCAGATAGCCTCCTTATCCTTTTGCTAATGAGACTACCAAAGCATGATGCTGCCACTACAATGAGACCTGATGTCAGCAACTCTACCATGGGCAGGGTCGTTCAGTTAGGGACCAACAATGAGTGACTTTCTAAATATGGAAAATAAAAATAAATCACGATTTTCTGCATTTAAACATTCATAATAAATATTACGTTGCATTAAAAGTGGATGAAAACAAGGCAGGATCATATATCCATTATTAGTTTTGCATCAGTTTGTCACATGACCCAAATGTTACTGGAGGAAAAAAACAGTTTGAAGAGAGAAATTGTTGAAAAATAGAAAATGGATTCAAAATTTTCCAAAAAAAAAAGTGTCTCATCTTTCTAGTTTAAAATAATCTTTCCACATTCAGTTTGTATCAGTGAGTCAAAAGACAAGAAAGTATGTATTTTAATTTATCAAGTGTGCTTGGTTTTAATATTTATTGTCTGTTATTGCCAGATAGAAATCTGAGCATTTTTAATGATTATATCTGGGCAACAGAAGGTGATTAGTAAATCTCTGGAGCGGTATCACACTAAAGGAGGAAAAACCAACATATTTCTATGAACAGATTTGACTGGATCTTTGGATCTCTGCAGCTCCTCCAGAGCCACTATAGGCATCGATACCTGTAGTTTAATTAATGATCAAATTTCACAAATTGCAATTAAAAAAGTAAATCTGCAAAATGGAAACACTGTAATTTAAAAAAAAAAATTATTTTCTAATTTTTCCAAAATTAGTAGAATATAAACATAGTTTTGAGCACATTTGTAATTTGAACGCAGCTTTAAAAAATCCCAATCAAAAACAGTGAACCTTGTAGTTGTGAGTCCAAAATGTTTGCAGGAGTGGTGCAGGTTGTGTTAGAGGCGTAGTGATACCTTTGTGGATGAAGATGCCCTCCATCTCCATTGAGGACCTAGAATGGGCGATGCAGAGCATAGCACAGGGGACCAGGCCCTCCTGGGCAGGAGAGCGATCTGTTGTCCTCACCAGGCACCAGTCGGGTTTGTCGTGACAGCGCTCCAGAACCTCAACGGTTTGACCCCGTCTCAACGTCAGCTCGTTGCTGTTGCTGGCCATGAATTCGTGTATCACAACAGTGAGCTCACAGCCACCGGAGAGCTGAGGAGGATACAACAGCAGTAGAGTTTAATTTTCCACAACCTACAAACACTTATTCTAAGCCATAAACATTGGAGGATGGGTTTCTGTCTGTGCAGTGGAGAGTTCCCACCTTATCACTGTCCAGTGTGTTCTGAGAGGTGCGAGATGCCAGAGAGATGGTGTCTGGTTGGCTGCTGCCTTCGCCCTGACTGTCCAAGTCCTCACCATCCCTAAGAAAGAACCAAACAGAATTATTTAACTCAGCTTTTATTCTCAGAACCAGAACCCTGTTTGGCTATTAAACATGTTTCATTCCTAATAGGGTCCAGTTTACCTTCGTCCTTTGGGATGCTTAGCTGTGGTGGCTTTGGGGATGTGAATAGGCTCCTTAAGCGCTGCCCTCAGATAGATGGTGTGTTCCTGGATTACTTCCCTGATGTGTTTGATCCAGTCCTGTTTGTTCTCAATGTTTGATGCCTGTGGCAAAACAGCAAAGGGAAACATTGAGAGAGTTCCGACTTAAAAAACCCAAAACAAAGATCTTCATTTGTTAATCAAACTTCACTGCTTCACACAAGTCTTAACCACTTCCTATTCTACTTCCATTTTTTTTTCCTCAAAAGAAAAACAGACATTGGCAAAAGCTCCATTTTTTTTTACTGTCAATCATTTCACTATATAAAACTGGGTATTTACTAATAAAATGTCATTACTTTTAATTGAGCGACATGTTTAGCTGTTGTATCTATCTTGCTTAACTTCCCTGAATAATGAAACCCTATATATATATATATATATGGATTGATACATTGATAACTTTTTAAGTGAAGCAGAAAATGATTTGCCAAATAGTTTCTTCTGCCTGGATTTGTTATTTTATAATGAATTAATTTGCTTTAATTATTTTATAATATTCTTTAAATTAGCAGAATTTCCTCATGACCTTATATTTCTGTTTATCTTTATTAAATCATTTTAAATAGTAAACAAGATGTTAGGATTAGTAAATCACAGAGATGGGTAGTAATGACTTACATTTACTTTATTAACTTTAACTGAAAAAACAAGAAATAAAACAAATTTCTGGTTACTCTGCCAACAAAAGTAACTTAAACTATTCGATCAAAGGAATAAACAGTACAGATTTTGTAGCTAGAATTTATTTATCATTCCCGGACCTATTTACGTTAACTACTGTAAGGATTAGTTTTAAAAGTTTATGTTAAACATTGCATTGGGAAAAAAAGTTTCTTTGGCTCACATTTATTATTTTGTCATCATGTAACATACCATTATTTTATATTGTTTTACACTTTGGAACGGCTAAACTTGCACATAACTCAGTCTGATTACATCATGTTAAGCATTAAATCATATGTTATGAGCCAACAATTAATCAGTGCCTTTTAACTCTTATGTGATTTCTTGGATGACGTAGTTATGTTTTATATAAAGCCAATTCACAAAACTAGGGATGCACGATATTGGGATTTTGGCCGATATCCGATATGACGATATTTTAAAACTCATGTAGCCGATAACCGATATCGATACTAATGTTAAAGCTGGACAAAAATAAGTAGTCATTGAAAATAGCAGTTTTGTTATCCATTTCTGACACTTTGAAAAATAATATACCGTATTTTCACAACCATAAGGCGCACCGTACTAAAAGGCGCAGTCTCAGTTATGTGTGCCATTTCTGTATTTAACACACACATAAGGCGCACCGGACTATAGGGCGCATTTTTTATATACAGGTACATGTCCTCTACTACCTTTAAATACCTCTACTGCGTATTTTAAAAATACAGCGGGCCCAAAACTGAGTATGACTGTGCTTTATTCATGTATTTATTACAAAGTATTAATCAAACCTGCGAGCTGGCCGTGAGACAGAGACATCGCAGATGACACAGCGCTGTGATTACTCCTAAATTAACTTAAAATCCTGAAACCTGCCGACGGAATATGTTCGCTTTTATTGCCGGTATCCTGGTGCCTGCAGTTTAAATTATTTAGATGAAAAACACCTGCCAGCCGCCGTGTGAGGCTGCTGTTGAAGGGATTTCTACTGTCAGTGCACCGCTGGTATGTGGGGGTCTGAGCGCCTCCGACAGAAATAGATAATCTGGATGAACTGACTGCAATTAAGTTTTCAGGTGGCCTTTCTCACTTAAAAACATATTAAAACTACTTTATTCCCACTGATCACAGCAAATATAGCTGCAAGATTTAGATTATTTAGATGAAAAAACACCTGCCAGCCACCGCGGTGAAGAGGAGGAGACCTGGCCCAGAGGCTGCTGTTGAATTAAGTTTTCAGGTAGAAAAATAGAGCGGGAGCAAAACTGAGTATGTTTGTGCTTTATTCATGTATTTATTACAAAGTATTAATCAAACCCATCAAAGTCATCATCCTCTGTTTCTGAATTAAACAGCTGCGCTAAATCAGACATGCCAATTTCCCCTTCTTCGCTGTCAGAGTCACTTTCCGTGCAGCGAAAGTGGCTCCTCAGAAATAATGCCGGCTTTTGCAAAAGCTTGAACAACAGAGCCAGCAGACACGTTAGTCCAAGCATCTGCAATCCATCCGCTAAAGGTGGCGTAACTTGCCCGGCGCTGCCTTCCACTTATCCTGAAACTGTGGCCTCCGTCTGTCATCCATCGCTCCCACGCCGCTCACAGCCTTACTTTGAACGGCCGCTTCACACCGATGTCGAGTGGTTGAAGTTCCTTTGTCAGACCCCCCGGGATAACGGCGAGCACAGCGTTCATTTGATTCACCTTTTTTTCACATCGGCTGTGAGATGGGCACGCAGCGATGGTGATGCGTGGAAAAAAGCACCTGGTCTCCTCACATACACCTGCCTTCCATCATCTCCAGCCTTTTTCATTTGCGTTAATATCATATGTCATCAGAGCGCTGTGTCTGTCTCGCTGTCAGCTCCCAGATCAGCTTCTCTGATTGGTTGATGCGGCGCGTCCAGCAGCAAAACTTCAATTTTTCCATCTCGAGCAGCAGCAGCGCGTTGGCGGTGCGTCAGATACTTAAACGCTCCCGAGGCGCTGCGGCTGCTGCTCAAAACGCGCTTTTTGCTGCACCTATACGCGCGTCAACCATTGACTTTGCATGTAAACTCGCTGCTTCTGCTGCACCTGCTGGGTCCGGTTCACACCGATGTCGAGCGGTTGAACAGCGCAGCGTTAATTTGTTTCCCCATGTTTTTCACATCAGCTGTGAGATGGGCACGCATGGAGTCACAGATTAACAGCGATGGTGATGAGTGGAAAACAAACACCTGGTCTCCTTACATTCAGCCACTCTTTCATCATCTCCTCAATGAGGTGGTCTCAAAAGTCGCAGTTACAACACACATAAAGCGCACCGCACCAAAGGGCGCACCGCACATTTTGAGGGAAAAAAAAGACGTTTAAGTGCGCCTTATAGTCGTGAAAATACGGTACTCAAATATATTTTCATATGCTGATATCAAATTGATTTTTAAAAACGCGGTATCGATCTATTTTACTTTCAAAATCTCGTGAAATTTCATTGTTCTTTTACAAACTGTCGTGATATTTTGCAAATTCTTGTGAGATTTTGTTAGTAAAATAGATCGATACCGCGTCAATATATCAACATATAAAAATATGGCAAAATGTTGTGAATTTTCGGGGGATTTCATAGCATAACGATGGCATATAGCAATATTTCATTAGTAAAAGAGATTGATATGGTGTTTTTAAATGACAATATATCAGCATATGAAGATATTGTGATATTTTAATGTATCAATAATTTTTCCCTCATCTTTAGAAGTTTTTAAGTCTGTAAAAAAGAAGTTTTTGAGGAAGAAGAAGTAGTATTTTATTTTATTTTTTTAGACTTTAGAAACTTAGAAGCTGATCAAATATTGGGTTAAATATCGGTGGGGTGGCCGATGTCCGATATTCAGTTTTAAGGCTGATACCGATAGGGAGCCGATTATATCGTGCATCCCTACACAAAACTAGTAATCTCCATACTCTTTATTGAAATTATTCAATCAATCCAGATGGGCAGATTGGTTAAAGGTTGGGGAAAGTAAAATAATCTTTAAGACATAAAGAACAGATGTTTTCCTCAAGCCGGCAACATTTGATTACCTTATTTTCCGGACTATAAGCCGCTACTTTTTTCCACGCCTTGAACCATGCAGCTCATGAGAAGGTTTGGCTGTTCTTTGGATTTTTCCGAGTCAAAGTTGGAAATAAAAGAATAGGGCCAATTTTCATTTAGCACAAGAACATGCTAGCAGCAGGCCCAACAGTGAACAAATATCCCGAATTCACATATGTTGACAGTTATTTGCGCATTAAAGCTGCCAAACCTATGAAGAGACTGGGCTCAACTTCTGCAGAGCTGAAATAAAGAGCTAACGAAGCCCCATCTTTCAGTAGAAGCTCTTACTGCTGTAAGCCAACAAGCTAACAGGAGCTAGCATTCGTCTTCATCCCTATTCTAGGGGCTATATGTAGAGCTCCCGCTAAAGGTTTGGGTGGGAGACAGTTCAGTTGATATCAGCAGCTTATAGTCTGGTACGGCTTATATATATGTACGTTTCCAGTTTAAAAAAATTTTTGTGGGCATGGCTTATAGTGAGGTGTGCTCTATAGTCTGGAAAATACGGTAATTAGTTGAGAAATAGCTTGCAGATTACTTGTTTTACTTGTATCACCATTTTATTTCCTTTTTTTCAGCGGATTTTTACTAAAATGTACAGTTTGTGTTTTTATTTGTGATATTACTCCCACTCATACACAAGCAAATTATAAGATTCAAATGTAAAAAAAAAAAAAAAAAGAAGGTTTGTCTGGGAAAGAAAGTCAAACTGATGAGCTCTAACTTGATTACTTTTAGGTGAAAAGATGGTAGTTAGTTCCAGTAAAAGCTAGGATATAAGATAGAACCTGTAGGAGAGAGAACAGGAAGCGTGCAGCCTTGTGTGAAGCAGGTGAGGGCTGTGTTGTGGGATAGTTTGTACTCACCGTTGCTCCATGTTTGGCTCCCTGACTTAGCTTTGAATTTAAAATATAGAATAAAGAATTTCACTGATTTGGCTTGAGGAAATATACGGGACATTTTTATGCGCTCACAAAATAGAAGAAGAAAAAAAACATGACTTGACGTGATAGAAATGCATAACAGTGATAATTTGCCTGGACAGAGTAATGATAACCAATTAGGCGCGTGGCAGACAGCAATGAGGGGTACGTGTGCCCGTGTGGTGTTAGTGATGGGAGACGATTTACAACGCACATACTGCTGGTCCAGGGGTTAGATTAGTAGTTAACATGTGGAACACGTGGCACTCGGTGGCGACTTTCTGGGCTCAAGTTCCTCCGATGGCTGACACTAACTTTAATCCATCTGCTGCGCTCAACAACAATAACACACAGAAGGCGGGTATTGCGGGAAGGGGTGGGGGGGCGTTATCTGCGTCAAAGAGGAGACAAGTTGCTGCTTTTCTGAAGTGTTACAGAGGGGCATTGGTGAGCCGACAATGTCATCAGCGTTGGTGGAAGCAGATCAGCCCACATAGAGAGTTAGATATACAAACATCCACAGAAAACACAGCCCTAGGTTTACAGATGTGTTCAACAGATGGAAGAAAGCAGAATCTGACTGCAGGACGACAATGACAGAGAGAGCCAGAGGACAGAGGAGAGCTTAAAGGGAACTTTTAAAGAAATGCAGGAAGGGAAGAATAAAGAGCTGGGAGAAGATAGACATTTTAGATTTGACCAATACAGATGATTTAAGGCTAGATATCAACCCTGCTGAGTCATATTGAGTCATCAATAAAGGATCCAACTGTCACATTTTTCACAAAGCTCTGAGCTATTTCCTCTTAATACTGTATTAGTCAAAACTTCAGAAGAAGAATGAGGGGGAAAAAATATTTTTTTATTCCTTACCTTGAGGACAATTTTGTTGTCGGAAGTCGGGGTGCTTCCAACCCATAAAGCAAACTTACATGGATCTCCTTCCACGTGCTCCGTCACCCCAAGCTCTGACGTCTACATAGGAAAGAAGCAAGAAGCATTTTTATAAAGGCCACCGCAGCAGTTAACTGATGAGGATAGAGGGGGATAGAGGGGGATATTTCATCTGGAACATTTCCTTTGAGTCTTCTGGGATATCTAAAGAGAAATGACTGACTCTCTATGATCACTGCTGAGGCCTTATCTTTTAAAAAAAATTAAAAATACTGAGAAATTCACAATAACTCTATATCAGCTAATCAATTCATTTAAATTAGTTTTCCTGGCTTTGAGTGGAATAACTAAGGATTTCTTTGTTAAAGCAGTGAAAAGGTGTTTAAAAAAACTAACCCCACATCCCAAAATATCCCGATTTTACCTACAAGGTTTTTCTGAAAGATTCAGTAACATTTAGGACATAAAATGATGAAACCATTCAATGTGTACTCCTTTTTAATTTAGCTGCTAAAGAAGGGCTATTTCATTATTTTTTAAATCAGAACTGTGGAGCTTGCTTGCGATCTTTGAGAAAACTATGCTATAACGTTTAACTTAAAATCGTAACATTAATGCTTTATTTCTCATTTTAATTCATAGCAACTTTTCCAATTTATTAAAATTTCTCAAATGTTTATTTTTAGCTAATTTTTTAGCCATTTATTTATCTCTAATATCTCTGTTCTTTTAACTTTTGTATTTGTTACTTTATTAAGTATTGTTAACTTTAATAATTATATCTAATTTTAAGTTTTTTAAATTACTTATTTGATCCATTTTGTATCCATTTCATTAATTTTCATAAAATTTTTTGTACTTCTCGTCGTACTCTGATCACTTTTAAAACTTTGCTTAGAGAATAAAAAAGCTATAAAATTTCCTCTATGGAAGACTCTGCATTTATCCATGTTTCCAGTTGAATAAAAAAAGAAAATTGGCTAAAATGTTACCATGACGAAGCAAACCAAATATCTATGATTGAATTCAGATACAAACATAAAGAGATAGAAGATGAGTGTGTGGACCCATCTTCTCCTACTTACAAATAGTTTGCTCTTGTAGATATATTTGCTCCTCCCATTTGAATCCTTCACCTCCTTGCTAAAGACCAGAGACATCTCAAAGAGGAAGAGGTGGCGCTCTCGGCCTTTACGGATCAAAGTCTTGGGATCCCACACCTGGAACGAGTCCTGGAGGATGAGCTCGCCCTGAGTCTCGATGTTCCCATCGAATCCTGAAGAAATAAAAGCACAGTTGATGGAAATGAGTTCTAGAACATCACTGTCTCTCATCTACAAAAAACATATTATTGTCAGGCATAAAATTAGCTACTTATGGTTTGCAATATGGCCGAAACAATTCATCGGATTAATCGTGATTAATCTATTAATTAAATAATCCTCAACTAATTTAGTAATTGATTAATTGTTAACTAGAGTATAGAGGCTTTAAAACATGCTTTTACCTGACAGAACAACATACATAGAGCAGTAATTATATCAAAATTGTAAAAAAAAAAAAAAAAAAAAAAAAAAAAAATTACAATTTTACATTTAAGATAAACCAAAAAAAAAAGTATCATATGTCAATATGCTCAATCTAGAACACCTTAAAATTACACACTGTAGTTTTAAAGCCTCTAGCTTTAGCAAGACCTCCTGATTAAACGATCATCAGCAGGTTGAACCCTCATCTATAAAAGCAGGAGAAAGGATGTGCAGCACTAACCCTCCAGCATAGAAAGGTGCATGGCATCGTTTGCTCTCTTGGGAACACTCAGCATCACCTCCAGGCCGTCCTTAATTTCTCCTTTACCTTCTTCGCAACACGTCAGGAGCTCCTAAAACACATAAGGACACAGAAATCCTTAATGGAAACTAAAGAACAGCACTGCTGATGTGTGGTCAAAAGGCTTACCTTCAGTAGAAGCTGGTACTTGGTGATTCTCTGCACTGGTTTGATTAGATAGGAGGAGATGGAGTTGGCCAGTCGGTGCCGCTGTTGGATTTCCTGTCATCGAACAGAAAAGTCTGGATCACTTTTGCCCGTAAGAACTGATAATGTAGTCGTCGCTTCTAAGTGCTACTCACGTCAAAGTAGTTCCCAGCGTGCTCCAAGATGAGCTGCGTAGAATCTGGTTTGTTCTTACAGTAGTTCACATACATCTGGAACTTATCGGCCTGAGAGGAGAGAGAAATGTTGGATTAAATGTCAGCTTTAGGTAAAAAAACGAACAAAAACATTAACCTCAAAAAATAGGACAGAATCTGTCTATATGGCAAACATATAAACATACCCATGTGACGAAGCAATGGCCGACATCTTCTGGAAGCTGTTCATATTTCTCCAACTCCTTGAGGAAAATGCTGAAATATATTTAAGATTGTGAGATGAAATCATGAAGTATACAAAAAAAAAAATGTATAAAAATAACTGCATAAAAATAATTCATTTGGGGGGTGGGGTTATACATCCACCAAACTGCATTTTTGACAACTCTAACACCTAGAAAGGATTTTCTTTAGACCCTTTAATGTCTCACTAATATGTGTGACATCATCAGATATGTAAATGTTATTGCACCAGTTCTGAATGTGTGCGACCAGATACTTCTACCACAGGGGGGGGATTGAAACCACCTTCTTTTTCTAAGAAGTGAGAAAAGCTTGTCCAGCAACTTGCAAAAAGTAGTAATACCCTTCTAGGTTAGTACTTGTTTAGTCAACAAGTAGCAATGCTTTACAAAACAAGGGCGGCAATACTTTACAGCAGAGGTTTCAACGTTTTCCAGGCTAAGGACCCCCAAACTGATTGCTAGATGGAGCGGGGATCCTCTAGTTATTTATATTGTATGAAATTGTGTTAAATTAATCTGGTCACTCTATTACAAATGGAGTAATGTAACGAAAGTAATTTCTCCCTGGGATTATTAAAGTATTTCTGATTCTAAATTTTGGTTGATGGGACAGGTGTTATGAATGAAACGGTGCCCAGTTTGAAAGAGCTCCCGTGTGTCGCTGAATGTGTGCATTGATGACTGAACAACATCTTCTGCCTCCATTTATCCGTTTACTACAGTGTTTTGAATTCATCTTAATGTGGATTTAAAGACATTTCAATTAGTGAAAAAATTGCATGAGAAATATAAAAAAAAGTGTAATCAACCAAAGCTTTGCGACCCACATGCGGTACCTCCGTGAACCCCCTGTTGAAGACCTCCGCTTTCAGCACTAGCTAGCGAGAAAAGATTCTATGCTTCAACAAATTAGCTGTATTGGCTTAATGAGCGCCCTGAGGCTGCTAACTTAATCAGCCAAGTAACAATGGCTGGCTCCAAATTCTGTACCTTCAGCGACATAATGTCCTTAATTGCACTGATTTTTGTATTTGGTTTATTTTCACAAAATTCACATTAGAAAATATGCAGATTTTTACTTTCACAGTTTTCCTGAAAGACTTCGTAACATTTAGGACGTGCAGGTTGAAAACATTTAGCAGTAAAATGCTTTGTTTGTTCCAGGATTCTTGAAACAGCTCCTCTCCTCAGCTGCTTTTCATTTGGCAGCTAGTTAAAGGCGATTCCACCTGCGTTTGGACTAACTTAAAACCTAGCATCAATATATTTGTTAAATCTGCATTATGATACACAGAACAGTGTTTTGCCTAGCAATTAAAATGCTTTATTTTACATCCTTTTTTTTTTTAAGTTATCTAAATTTTCATATTTATATTTTTATTTAATTTTGTTTATCTTATTTTCTCTAGTCTCTCATTTCTTTCCCAAATGTTTCTATTTTCCCTACCTTTATTATTATTTAACCATTTTTATTCTTACTTTCATCATTTTTTGGTCTTTTTTTAAACCTTTTTTTTTCAGTTTCAAATACATTTGATTTATTCTGTTTTTATTTGCTCTTATTTTATTCGACTTACACTGATCCAGAGGTTTGCTTAGAGGCCAAAAAAAGCTGCTCTTTGGATGACTGTACATTTACCTGTTTTTATTTTATGACAGAAAAACAAAATGACTAAAATGTTCATTTATGGCGCACTATGCTGATTTTCCCCTTGAGTGGCTTCACAGTTGGACAGCCCACCGGGTTGGCCACACCCACTACAGCAAAAACAAGGGGAACATCTTAAAACGCCTGGTCTGAACGCGGTGCATGGAGACCTCCAAACAAGGAGCCCAATGACGCCTCTTTAAGGCTGTCCACTTATCAATACATTGATGCTATTTAAATCTTTATAACATGATGAAGGGCAGCAAACATTGCTTCTATGTTTATTGGACATTGTTTCCACCTACAGACTCCAGAGGTCGCCACAGCTGCTGATGACCAGTAAACATAGTGGATTATTATCACCTACCTGCTACTTTAACACTAAGTTTTTTCATGACTTTAGTTTAATCAAAAATGCTTATTTTGATTTGAAATATAAACTAATACATGTTTGCTTCTTACTTGTGGTGGAATTCATAGAGGTCCTGCATGTTTCCAAAAATAATGTGCTCTTTGTTGATGATTCCTGGAGGAATCTCCTCAACCCCACTGGTCATCTCCCACAGGTAAGTCTGCGTGATGAGAGGATTGAAAAAGTCAAATAAGCCACAATTACAGCTTGAGGCCTGGTGTGAAATATTTCCTATCTTACATCCATGCATTCCCTCAGGTCTCGCACGTATGCCTTCTCTGTCTGAATCAGCTCGGCCATGATGAACCTAGACACAAAGAAAAAAAAAAGGAGACACTCAGAAATTGGCGGCTGATGATGCCGTCATCATCCAAACAGGGAAAGATCAATCACCCCTTCTTAGCCTGCCAGCCACATCCATTTACTGCAATGGATAATAAAAGCCTTATGGGCCATAAAAGTCAGTCATAAACCAGCCTTGAGTGACTTCATTCATGCTGCTGATCTGTGGCGTGTAGATAAACGACAGTCGGCTCTACCTGCACCCTCTATTCGCTGACACAGCACAGAAAAGGCTAACAGGTTTAAATAATCATTTATTCCCTCACATTTACATTAAACTCCCTTATTCAGGGTCGACAAGAACAACAAAGGTCCAGTTCGTTCATCATCCTCTTAAAATGCATCAGGCTATACTTCTGTAAGCTTTCTGCTCTCAAACATTAATTAAATTAACTCTGCAGTAAATCGCTTGCTTTCTGAAGGGGAAATGCTGACTTGTTTCTGTTTTTATTTCTTAAAATAAGCAAACAGTCCTGCTGAATCGATTAACAGACGGGTCGTTTCAAATGTTCTGAACAGGAGAAATTGCGATCACGTACTCCTTCCTGCGAGCCGACTTGCGTTTTTCCTCATTGAGTTCGTGTGCGGCGGCGTCCCTTAGCTTGATCTCTGACCCCGGAGGGGTGGCTGGGATGATGTCCAGCTGAAGGTCCTTGCTCTGACAAAGAAGGAAAATCCAGGATTAGAGGAGACATGTGGGGTTGAACTGGATGATATTTGAAGGAGCGACCAGCCGTACTGCCTTGTTGGAGTCTGAAGGGATGCCCAGGGCTTTCTCCAGACTGCTGCGGTACTTGTCCATGCGCAGGGAGAAGTCCCTGTAACGCTTGTCCACAGCTGTTACCCACTTTTTAATTTCGGCGGCATGGCTGTGGCCTTTCTCACAGAAGCCATCAGCCAGCTGGATTAGCAGCTTCACACGTTCCTTGGTTTGCTGTAGAAGAAAAAACAAAGAGATTATTAAGTGAAATACTTCCAGATGACATCAAACCAGTGTTGCTGTAAACCCAACCTTTGCTGTAATGTGGAAGTCCTCATGCTCCTTCAGGAGCTCCTGCGTGTGATGGATGCTGGAGCCAGTGGATGTGTGTGTAGACAGATAAAACTCCCCGGTGTCATGAATCCACTCCAAAGCCTGCATACCCACACAAATATTTCAGTGTCGTCTCTTCCTACAAATAAGCCGCACTACTTCCTGTCGTAATTTCTACTTCCTGCGTGTGGATGTGCTCCATGTACCTGTTTGGCGCTGCGTTCAAACACCACGTACTGCTGACACTGGTCCAGTCGCCGTTTCCTCATGGTCCAAAAATGAAGGACTCTGTTCTCTCTCTGCAAAAGCTCATTGAGGATGTCTGAGCACAAATAAAATTAATGAATTAGATAGATTTTCAAATGAAGGCATTTTACTCAACAGCCAATAAACTTTATTAGTAGAGCTGATTAAAGATGCAAGAGAGTGAGGAAGGAAAGGAAGAAGGATGGTTGGAATGAAGGAAGCAAGGGAGGAGAGAGGGAGAGAGGGAAGGAAGGGGGGAGGGAGGGGGAGAGAGATGAAGGAGGAAGGAAGAATGGGAGGAAGTAAGAGAGAGCGGGAGGGAGAGAGGGAGGAAGGAAGGATGGAAGCAAGGAGGTAAAGAGGGAGGGAGAAGGAAGGAAGGATGGAAGCAAGGAGGTAAAGAGGGAGGGAGGAGGAAGGAAGGGAGGGGAGGGATGAGCGAAGGAGGAAGGAAGGAGGGGAGAGAGATAAAAAGAGACAAGAAAGGAAGACTGGGAGGAGGGAAGGAAGGATGTTAGGAAGTAAGGGAGAGTTGAAGGAAGGAAGGAAGGAAGGAAGGAAGGAAGGAAGGAAGGAAGGAAGGAAGGAAGGAAGGAAGGAAGGAAGGAAGGAAGGAAGGAAGGAAGGAAGGAAGGAAGGAAGGAAGGAAGGAAGAGAGATAAAAAGAGAGAGAAGAAAGGAAGACTGGGAGGAGGGAAGGAAGGAAGGAAGGAAGGAAGGAAGGAAGGAAGGAAGGAAGGAAGGAAGGAAGGAAGGAAGGAAGGAAGGAAGGAAGGAAGGAAGGAAGGAAGGAAGGAAGGAAGGAAGGAAGGAAGGAAGGAAGGAAGGAAGGAAGAAAGGGTCATAAATAGAGTTGCTCTACTGATTTTCAGAGAGCTCCCTGCTGGTTTTATAACTCATGTTTATTTGGCCATTTTGGACACTTTGTTTGAACCTAGAAAAAATAACCTTTGACAAAAATAAGCCTTATTTACATAAGCCCTAAATCATGTTAATACTTCTAGATAAGAAACTCATCAATAATCACTCTTTTGGTTGTTTGCTAACAAAAACAGTGATCTAGTTTAACAGTAAAAAGCATTAACTACTTTATATTTCCTTTATTACTTCGTACCCACTCTGATTACTTGGATTTTTTCTAAGCTGCAGGAAATATAATGAAAATATTCCTGACTTGGATGAATTGATTAATTCTATTTATCGATCAACAGATTTTATGACTGAATCAAAGACCTAAAGACGTACTTTTAACCTGCTGTTCTGGCGCCTTGACGTGGCTCAGCATCCCCGGCATGTTGACGCTGTTTCTGTGCATGTACTTCAGAAAGACGTCTGCATTTCTCCTGGCCAGAGTGCAAGCCTGTAGAAAAACATGCCATCTGATCAGAGCTACAGCTAACAACTAGCTTTGCTCTAACTTTCACTAGAGTAGCCTTACCTTGAGGAAGGCCTCCTTTTGTTCCAGATGTTTGCCGATCATCGGGGTCACATGGTCTGATTCACAGTTGGGACCCAGCTTGTCTGCTCCTCCACACCAGTCCTCCTCCCTCTTATACTCTTGCTCCAGACTTTCCAACACGCTGCACACCTGAACAGAGGAACGCAGTCAGCATGTTTGTTTTAATAATGAAAAAAATGAGAAAAACCAGGAGCATCTACCTGTTCAGAGGTCTTGTAGAAAGCCACAGAGGCATTGACCAGTTTGAGTCGATCCTCCATCTTCAGCATCAGCTGCTGCCAGTGAGAAGCCACTTTCTCTGCACAGTCTCGAATCAGGTCCATGTCATAGTGGTTGGCCTGGAGGAGAGTCTCTGCCTTCTGCTGAACCTGCAGAGCGCTCTGGTGGGTCTTCTGCAGTGGGATGGAAAGAAATCAGGGAATAGAGTCACCAAGCTTTGCAATATGAGCATAAAAGATGAACAATGAGAATAATCCAGCCCTACGTTACCTCAATGGCATGCTGGAACTGTTCGTGCTCCCTCTGTAGTAGCTCTGCCTCCTGCAGAGAGCTAGCTGTGATCAGACCAGCATTAAGCATCGATTCACCATTCCGGATCCAGCCCAGAACCTTTAGCAAGCATAAAGAAAAACACAGCTAAGACTTTATCTCAGTCTCTTTAGAACAGCGACAGTCATATGCAGCTTTGTTTAAGTCCAACCTGCTTGACTTCTGCCTGCAGGTGTCTCAGCTGGACGCACTGCTCCAGGTGTCTGCGGTGCTGCTCAGCAGCAAGGTCCAGTTCCTGCTGCTTCTCATGCAGGAACTCTAACAAGTCCTGAACCCGTGTTGCCATGTCCACATCCCGATCACACAATAACTCCACACCTACAGAGACACATGAGGAAGATCTTGCTCTTAAAAAATGTCACTTCTCTGGATGTTATTTTCCCTCATTCAGCATTTACTCATCAAGTTTATGATCTGTTTAGCAAATAAGCAAACATGACAGACTGGCTTTTTGCAGGCAAATATCCACTTTATATAAATCTGGGTCTCCATATGATGGTTATAAATCAACATTATCATAAAAACTGGACTCAAATCTGTTCTAAAAGATTCTTTAATTCTTTGTCTGCTTGATTTTTGTTTGAAAAACTAATAAAAAATAATTTGACATTAAAACTAGGTGGATTAAGACCAAAGATGTACTTAAATATCAGATCTAAGATAGTTATCAAACCAGAGAAGCTGTAAAATAGCTTTATTTAAAAAAAAATACCTTTTTAATAGTAGTATAGTTCAGTTTAAACCTACATCAACAGCGAAAAATCACCCAAAATTTCAACCTGATTGAAGGTAAGTTTGTTAAGCTGGACCTCCTCCAGCATAAACTAGTTACTGACATGGTTTTAACCGTTAACTTTTGCTCAAAATAAACTCTCTTAATATTAAACTGGAGAACATTTGGTTTTAATAAGTTGGTCAGTTTATCACATCCATCCATCATGGGGTTTGTTGTTTTATCTTTTTGCTGTTGCCTTTCTCCTTTAAAGAAATCTTAAATATCAGTAAGACCTACAGTTGAAAATTGGTCTAAATTGAAAACATATAAGATTTAAGACTTTAAAATTGGGAACATCTACCCGTGTGTGCATTTATTGCTGTGTCCTGACAGTGACTGAAATTTTTTTATGTAGGAAAATAAAAAGAGAAAAGTAAAATATCGGAACAGAAATCAATGTAAAAGCCCTTTTTATTTCTGCAGATTTGAAATCTCAGCTTTTAGATTATGGAATAAGGAATAAAAACTGGAAACTTAGACAGATCCAGACCTGAAAAATGCTTTAAAGAAATTATTTTTATAATCTTTTGATATCTTTTCTGTGTTTAGCGCTTGTTGCATAACATTACCACTCCTTGTGTGGTTCCAGAGAGCACCTATTAGCATTTAGGTTCACAGGTGAGTTATTACTGTTGGTGAGTAGGAGCCTCTCATCGCAAACTCTGAGTGAATCTGACCCAGGACACCTACACAGGAAAACTAATGGAGCTGACAGAGATCTGTGCAGCAACCTGCTTTAACCCCCGGCTTGATTGGCAAACGCAGTGCAATCAAACTGGAAGGAAAAACCTCTTCGAATACAGCAGGAGGCTCACCGGATGCCTGGACTTCGTTGACATACTGCAGCAGCTCCTGCCCCTGATGGATGACATCAAAGGTCAGGTTGTTCATGGTCAGGGCCTTGTCTGCGTGGTGCTGGAGCCGCTGCTCTGCTAACGTCAAGTCTTCGGTGTCAAATTCACTCTTCTGACCCGTCAGCTCCTCGTTCCAGGACTCCAAATCTGAGATAATCTGAGGAGGGATTAAAACGTTTTGTTTTTTTTAAGCCAGTTAAAGGCCTTTCTTATCATAACATTTCTCACATCCAACATTAAAAATGGTGTTTTCCTCTATGGCTCTGAATAAATTACCTAAACATTAAATAAATACCTTTGTTCCTCTGAACCTCGCAGACGCTTTAACCCAATGATTATTAAACAAACAGCATCAGACACTAAAACACTCTTATTTCTATTATTTGTAAGTACTGCTTCTTATCTTCCTAAGCTATACTACATTGCATGCTTTTTTTAAAACCACAACAAGAAAAACGGATAACAAATCGTTGAAATAAAAAAAATTAACAACAAATTTTAGATTTTTTTTTTCCTTTTTCAATGAGTCAAGTGGCCTGCTCTTGGTAACTTCTCCTACCCAGGAAAACCGAAGGTGAAAAAAAATATTCTGCAGGAGAGCTGAGAAATAAAAAGTTAACTTTAAGAGAAGGAGATGTAAAAACCAAACAAATGAGAGGGTTCTCTCTGGAGCAGCTTCATTCTCACCCATCCCACTTCAATTCCCTAATGGTAACATTTGCAAGCTAGATGGAAATGAGTGAATATAGTGATGACAACAGTTGCTATGGCGATCAGATTGAAACCGCTTACTTCCTGTTTTTGGCAAACTGGCCATCAGATTAATCAAGTGGGAATGCTTAAGCATTCCCACTTATTAGACACACATTTCTTAGACCTTTTGTGTGTGTTTTAATCCTATAATCCTAAAATCCTAAAAAACTAAATCTGAATATCAGGTTTCCTATGAATAGAAATTAAAAACATTTTACGCTGTTATGGATTTTTTTTTGTAGCTAACATTTGGCCTACGCAGGGCAAAGAGAACTCCAAGGCTACTATTTAAAAAATATGATCATCGAAAGTCAGCCATAGAGGGCTCATTTTTTGTTTGTTTATCATTTTGGAAATCAGATACCGGATAGTGGTTTGTTATTTCTTTTTTTCAGGTCAATAAATAAAACAAAAAAAATACTAGTGTTTTAGTTTTTTTGTACAGTTTTGGTTTCAAATGAAAAGAAAAAAATAAAGAACAGGCTGCGATCCCAAACCAGGGACCACCTCTAAAGCCCAGGCCTCAAATCGGATCTGAGTCCACTTACATCGATGGCATCTCTCTCAAAGATGCGGAGTTGGAGGAAGAGCTCCAGCTTGATCTTCCTCTCCTGGAAGAGCTCCTCCATCTGAGCCTGGGCCTCATCCAGCTGCTGAAGGACGCTCTCAATGTGGTTGATGGAGCTGTTGTGCGGTGTTTTGTTGCTGGAGATGGCAGAGTCCCTGGAACAATAATAATAATAATAAAAAAATACTCATGGTTAGGCAATAATCTACACAGTAGTTATGTGCAGCTATAAACGAGGCGGCCGGTCAGGGTCAGGGTTCGGTGTTCTGAACAACCTGCTGCGTCAGCATAAGCTGCTGGTGAAATGTTGCATTGATCATCAAATATAAAGCTATTGGTGGTCAGTTAAAGCCTATATGCTTTAGAAATTTGGTTTTAAGGGGAAGTACATGATTAGCTTCAGGCTCACTAATCAGAGCTACCTGCTCAGGCTTCAAAAGAAGAGAGCATGTGTGCATCCCGACCGCAAAAAGCAGATGGTACGTGGAGCTACAGTTGCTTCTCTAAGAGGCCATCACACAATTAGACACACATTTATAAAAGTGGGCTTATGTAAGAATCCACAGCGGAGCCAACACACCAGGGAGAGGGTGGCGAGCACAAAGAGAGAAGAGAGAGAGAGGAGAGGCGCTGGAACATCCTCTGCATAAAAATAAAGCCGGACGACCGCATCCACCTCTCTCACGCCGCCTCTCATCCTCGCAGCTCGCCGCTTTTTGCTTCAAATGCATTTCATCACTGTCTTCTAAAATAAACACGGAGCTTTTTCTTTACAGCTTATATTTAGCTTCTGTTCCAGTCTAACACCTTTATTTAAAATCACAAATTCAAGCCTAAATTAAAGCTACGATGAACGACTCTCATGAGGAGAGTAGTGCCGAAGCAAAATCAAAACTGATCAGTCTGATATATTTTAAGTAGTCAGGATTTATCTTTTACAGCAGAGCACTGAAATTCTTTAGTCACTACAGTGTAGAAGCCTGGCAGTATCATGGTGGGGATATGCTGTGACTCAGCAGGGACTGATTGATGGATGGAGCTCAATAGAGGAGCATAGTGGGAGAAAAGAGGCTGCAAATGACTGGAGCAGAAGTTCAATTTTCGGTCCCTAGTAGAAAAAAACACAATATTGCTGCTGATTTGTATAACATTATTGCATTGAATAAAAGTTTTCTGCTTTTGTCTGCCAAATGTTAAAAGCCCCTTTAATGAACTTCAGAATCTCCATCGATATATCCATTAATCAGCCGTCTATATCAAGTCCAGCAAGCTGAGCATAATGTCAGCCCCCAGAGAGTAAATAACTTTTTTTTTTTTCCAACTTTATTGTTTATAACATTAATTACATGTTTCAGTAGGAATCTCCATTTAGCGTTTTTACAGAAAAAAAACGACGAGAAATTCAACTTAACTTTTGCAAGGCAAAGGAAGAAGGTACAATTAAATTAACAGAAAAAAAAAAATTTAATTAAAATAACAGGCATTTATAATAAATAATAGTAAACCAATCTCCAAAAGGATATATACATGACAAATGTAGAATTCAAAATCAACAATTAACAGAGACATACTTATTTAGGCAGTGCGACAAATCATGTTAACTTGAGTTAAAACACAAGAAATCGTGACATGTCGTTACATAGCTTTTGTAAATGTCCATATTTGTCAGCTAACAAGGATAAAGATGAATAGAAGAATTTGAGTTCATTTTTGAAACATATAACTGAAGGTTCTTGATTTTTCCATTTACATACATGTATATGATATTTTCCCATACTTATGACAATATTGATCATGTCCGATAAATCTTTCGCAATATCATTTTTATATGATAGTATGTGATTTATATTAAATGCTCTTTAAATGCTCTTAGAAATAATTTTAATGCCGTCGACAAGTACATATGTGTATATATATATATATATATATATATATATATATATATATATATATATATATATATATATATATATATATATATATATATATATATATATCACAGCCTGTCACAGTTGCTGCTCGCTCAGTTCAACGCTTTGAGCATAAACCTGGTTTAAGTGCCATTTCGTTCACTATATGTAAATTTCTGGTATACTTCTGATTTATTTTGGTCAGACCAAGTTAAAAACATTTAAAAAACAAATCACAGGCCTTTTTTTTCCAAGTTTGAAGACGTTTTGCTTCCCATCAAGAAAGCTTTCTGAATTCAAAATGTCTGGATTAGGGTTTGAGCTCCAGGCTTATAGGGTGGCCCAAACAAAAGCCTCGTTAGGGCGTAGAAAAAAGGCAAATCGAACAGAAAAAAACAGGTCCACCCCCCAGTAACGGGGAGTCGGTGAGGTCATTGCTGGCCTGCAAAACCCGATACTGGCCTATGGCTCTGAAAATGCAGCAGTTAGGGTAATTGTTGGCCTGGCTGACCAGGCGAGATGTTTTGGTCCCCTAAATGGCGATGAGGATTGAGATGATAGCGGGAAGGAATCAACTAAACTGAGAAAGCTTCCTGGATGGGAAGTGAAACGAGTGTAACTTTAACGTAACTTTAACTTTTTAGGAATGACTAAGACCTTGATGACTGAGAAAATTGAGAAAATTGAAAAATCTTGCAGGAACTCTGTTTCTCCTTCCTGTGTTTGCTAAGAAAAGACCAAGGCACCGACAGGTGTTGTTAATCTGCGTCTACCTGAGCTGCTGAATGAGGTCCTCTCCCTCCTTGATGACGTTGACGGTGACCTGCAGCGTGGTCTGCTGCTGTTGGCCGAAGCGCTTGATCAGATCCTGGACGGCCTCCACGGACTCGGCGTAAACGTCGTCCAGCAGTTCCTTCTGCAGCTCCTCCAGCCACGTCCACAGCTGAAGGACAGTCAACCTGTTCAGATTATTCTAATTCCCGGCTTACGTGTTGCTTTTTAAAATGCAAGATGTAACAGAAAGCAACCATTCTAATGTTTTATTAACTAATTGTTAAGCTGTATATCTACAGTCTACCATTAAAGTGACACTACAGGTGTATGTTATTTAATATTTATGTAAATTTTCCCTCCCAGTAATTGGTACCCATGCTTTATTTCAGCAGGTAATTATTTCCCTGATGCTAAAAGAGGCTTCTGAAAGCTCTCCTCTCCACAAGCAGGCAGCCCACCATCCACTCTATCGCTGTGTCACCCTCCCTGCCCACCTCTTTGACGTGCGTTTGGAAGGCGACAGACATGTCCAGCAGGACTTTGCGCTGCTCCACGCGGCGAACAAAGTCCTGGATTCTGTCCTCGAGCTGATGCGCTGCCTGGTAGATCTCCTCTGGGTCGCATTCTCCCGTCTGGGCCAGCTGCTCAGCCGCCTCCAGCAGCTTATCTGCATTGGTGTATGTGTTCTACGCGGAGACAGAAAAAGGTGTCAGAGTGAGAGAGGCGAGGAGAAGGTTTGTTGGGCTCATTTTTACCCTCAGTGTTTAAAAAGAAGGGGTAAAGCTGAATTGATTCATTAACACTAGATGTCCCAGAGATTTTCAGTTTTCCTGCAAGCCCCCCTCCCCTCTGCAAGTTTGTGTATTCACTCTGCCTTGCTAACTGTCCCTATTGTAATGCAAATAATCTGTAATATGACCAACCCTTCTACATTAAGACTGGATAAAGGCTGAAACAAACTGGCATCAAGACCATGTTCCAAGCACTTTTCAGTACCTGCCCCTGCAACATCATACCTTTTTGCAGGAATATATTTATATGTCATATCTAAATCTTTTATTTAGGCAAACCTATTGAACAACCAGATATCATAGTGGTCCTAGTTCCTGAGCTGAGAACAAGTCATAACCATGCTTTTCCAACAAGGCAAGGCAGAGCCTGTTTCTATTGTCCATTCACCAACAGACTTATTTATATTGCAAAGCTCACTATATGAAAGAAAGAATAATTGTATTTTGTCTTGTCTCGCCTTTTTATGTCATTCAAAATTTAATCTTAGAGAATGACAAACAGTATGCCTTTAGAATTGGAGTAACATTTATGTCACAAAAGGAACAGCCCTAGTCTCTTCATCTCACAATGCTGTCTCATGTGTTCTTCCTTTATTGCCTTTTCTTGCATACAAATGTTACGAAGTTCATTTGCAAGTAGCAGAATTAACTTTGGTGGACTCTCTTTGGTCCCTGTGCACGGCTTGTACAACACATGCTCGTCTGTTGCAGCCAAGCTTGTACGCCAAGCCAAGCCAAGCTTGAAATCTCAATAACTCTGAGTCGATCTGCTGGGCCTATTTATTCTGGGAGCTAGACTTCCCACCCACAACCTTTACATTTCCCCCTGCCGCCAGATTGGAATTTGAGCTGGAAACGGGTTTCCAGCACAAAGCCGGCTTTCCGCTGGAAATCGTGAGCGGATGATGTTTGCTTGTTTGCCCTCTAGTAAATAGGGCAGATGGTCATTGTTGTATAAATATTCTTGTTAGCTGATGGAGATGTTTTCATTGTACAGATCAGTTGGGGGGACTGGAGCCCAATTCCCACCCCAAACAGCTCAATTTTGAAAAACAACAGACAGAAGGTATAGCCTCAGAAAGTTTTTTTTTTATTTCAGATAAAGAAAAACAGTCTACATATGGATAAAGCACTAAATATAATGTGGAAAAATGTAAAATGCAATTGTCCCATCTAGCAGTTTCCACATTCCCATGGTGAGCCTTTCCTACATTTGCCACAGGTAAATTTGCCACAGTGGACACAACTTTCAGTACTTCTGTTGTTATTGCAGAGTATGCGCACCTGGCATTGAGTCTTTTTCTGCTGGGAAACTCTCATCTCACGACGTAGCTGTTTTTGCTCTTCCTCTTGTGTCTTTTCCTGCAGGAGCCTGTTTTTGAGTTCCTCTGAAAGCTCCAGCATGAACAGTCGACAACTTTCTTTGGATCCTGTACACGCTGTGTACAAAACATGTGCATTTGTGGCGGCAAGGTCAAGCAGGTTATAAAACACAACCATAGGCCACCTCCGTGTTCCTGCACGCACAGAGTAGTTGCGCAGTTTCTGGTCCATGATATCAACACCACATTTGAGATGATTGTAATCAACCACAGTGTTTGGTTTTTGAATGTCCACAATTTCCACTCTGTGATGCATGGTACTCAGAAGACAGACAGATTTATTTTTTTTGTCACATACACCGTCAGCAAGGCACTTCCAGATTTGAAGAACTGCGTGGAGTGCAACTGGCGCCCCGAGGTTTCCTTTGCAGTTGCTGGTAGCTCCCGACGAATTTTGTTGATGGTGCCAAGCAGAGTTGTATTTCGCTGAAGGAACCTGTTAGCCAAAGATCGAGAGGTGAAGAAATTGTCCATAGCTACAGTCCTTCCCTTGTCCAAAAATGGTTCCATCAATTTCAGAACAACGTTCTCTGACAACCTCTCTCCTTTTGGACGAGTGGGATCCTTTCCCAAGTAAGGGATGGCATTATACATGTATTTTGTGTCCAGATCTGCTGCAATCCAAAACTTGATTCCAAACTTGTCAGGCTTGGATGCAATGTACTGCAAAAAGGGGCACCGAACCTTGGACGGAAACAGCTGCTCATCCACAGTAACATGCTGTCCTGGACTGTAGGACGACACACAGTTCTGAACAAACCGCATCCAGATGTCAGAAATTGCTGCAAATTTGTCATTGTGTATGCGTTCCTTGCGGGTGTTCTTTTTGTCAAAACGAAGGTACCGTCTTATTTCAAAAAAACGGTTACGAGGCATTATGGGTTTGATATCTGCGTTTCCGAATTTATTGGCCCACGTGTCGCATGGGACCAATGTAACCCATGGCAGCCCTTCGAAAAAGGATTGCGAGGAAAGCCATCAGCTCGTAGACACTCATCTGCCAGCTGGGGTTTGTTCTGCCGGCCTCGTGGACTGTGCAGTCTCTGATGGTCAGCAACATGTTCATATCTAACAAACACAGGAAGCTGCGAAGGCGGCTTGTGATTTTGCGTTTCGCAGAATCTGTTGGCCCTCTTGATGCATTGAAGGCAGTCTGTGGGGTTTCAGGAACAGAAAAGTCTTCAACTTTCCAGTGGGACCAAACAGTGCCATCTTTCGCCTTCTCTGTGGATCCAGGCATTGTGCCAAAATCAGCAGTTTTTTGTTTTTTGCAAGGAGGGGAGTTGCCGCGCACTGTGTCTTCCTCTTCATCTGATGTAGCCTCAGTGTTTGAACTGTCCCGCTCAATCATATAATTGACCACTCGGCCCCTGGTGCGTCTTTGGAGGGGAGGATTTGCTGGTGCAAAAGCAGTCGCATCTTGTAATCTTGAGGTTTAAATATTTTCCAAAGGTATTTGATGGAAAAATATTTGAGGCAGCAGATGCTATTGGAAAAAATCAAAATAGATCCACTATTTAGTAGCTTTTATGTAGCTTTCCAAAATGTGAAACAAGTTTTTAAAAGCAGAATCATTTTTGCTTTTAATCCTAATGCCTTTAATGTTATTTTTCCAGTTTTCCTTTTCGGTCTCAGATTTTATGCTTTTTCAGATTAAAGATTCATCTTTTAAAAGTGTTTATAAAATATCAATTATATCAGTTTCTAATTGTTCCTTACAGCTAAATTTCCCTAATTTTTCTCAATTTTATGATATTCTCCATTAATCAACAGGTTTTTATTAGTTTAACATTTTTTTCTTGTTCTTGTTGATCGTTTTCTTTGGGCTTGTTTCTTGAACGTCAGTAATAGAAACTTCTTCCCCAGTTCAGGAGACCCAAGTCCGCTGCTTGGGGGTGAACCATTAATCTAACTGCTGGAGGGTTCAGCTCTCCCACTCCTCTGATCCAGGTCTGCCAGAGAAACAAGGCTCTTTAATTTTATAGGCAGGTAAACAAATTACTGATGTTGTTTTTTTCTCCAAGAAAATAAGAGAGTAGAGAAACATACTAGGAAAATTAAACTAGTTTACTTTTGGAAACATCCATTTTATTTTGTACTTTTTCAACTAAACTGCTTTTTCTCCCGTTTTAAAAGCTTTTTAATGTTAGTATATTTATATGAAGGGTTACTTTAGGACTGTAAAAAGAAAATATTGACACTAATAACGGAAGAATACGTTGGAAAAGCTTGTAAAAATTCTCAATTCATGCTAGTTAAAATGAATATAAAAGTATTGCATGATTTTAGGAACTTTAAATACTTTTTAAAGCTCAGTTAGTGGTATTGTGTTAGCACACCAGAACTAACAGACGAGGAAATTATATAAAAAAGGGGCAATTTTATTCCTAAAATAGATCTCTCACTATTTAAGTCGGATTTCAGGCATTTAGTGTGTTTTAGTTAGAATGTAGACTCAGAGACCTGCGCCACTTCCTCAAAGTCCTCATGGCGTTTCTGCAGAGCTCGGGCTCGGTGGAGAGACTTCCCCACACCTGTGTGCTTGCTGAGGAAGGCCTCACCATGGTTTTCTATCCAGTCCAAAACCTGTGAGGAAAAAAAAAAGATAACATAAATAAAAAGCGCTTGAACAAGGGCAGCCACCAGGGGGCGCTCTGAGGTTACAGCTGTTCCAAAGAGAGTCTTTGGGCATCAGAGACAGATAACAATATCAAAACTCTGAGCCTGCATTTAAACGCCCTCCTTCCTGTTTTCGGCCATGATGTCTATGGATTTACACCATCTGCATGAACATATGACCCAGTTCGGTTACCGCAGCAACTGTTGCCATGTCAACATTCAGAGGCAAAGCATACATTTTGGGCAGTAGCTGTATCATCCTATTTAGAGTATGATTAACAGATCTTCACTGCGGCTGCAAACAAATCGCTTTCAGTTCTTCCACTCACACTGCTGACCTTTTAGTTCTAAACTACCATCTAATCCTTCCATTACATGATAAAAGAGTGATGTAGAATGATGCAGCAAAAGCACTGCTTAGAAACAGAATGGGAGACTCTTGCAGTGCGAGCTCGTGTGGGAGCGTACCTGCTGGACATCCTGCTGAAACACGCAGAGCTGCAATCGCTGATGCAGCCGCACTTTACGGTGCTGCCAGATGTTCTCCAGCTGTCTTTGGTGATGCAGCACCTCATGAATGATGTCCAGTACGTGATGCACTGCCTTGGAGTAATTTGCCGAAGCTGTCAGCGAATCGGCGCTGCCTGGAGTCAGGGGGCGCTGCAGCTTGTCTAACAGTGCTTTGCCATCCTGGCTCACCTGAACAAATTCAACATATTTCTACTCATAAGAAAACACAGAATAAAGTCACCAGCTTCTATATATGTAGCATATGTATTTCAGAGAAAAATAGAAGAAAAGGTTGATCATTTTCAAACAAATTCCTTCCTTATTTGCAGGTTCAGTGTATGCCATGCAACATCCTGAAATACAGCTAAATGTTCTGCAAAGCAAAGCATCACATAATCATTCAAATAATTCATATCATCTAAACTTGTGACACTCAAAATTAGTGCCTCTCATCTTCTCCTTAATTCCACCCATCCCTGATGAGGGAAAGCATCGTTCAGCATGATGCTGCTAATCCCAAGCTTCACTTTGGGGATGGTATGTTCATGATTTAGAGCCATTTATCGACCAAATAAAGCACCTTGCTTGGTCTTGGTCTCATCAGATCCAGACCCAATGTGTCAAACTGCAACCAGACTTCTTAGCTCCTTGCAACAGTGGCATAAAGCAATTATGGGCCTGATAACTGCGATATCTGCTAATGATCCTGCAGCCCCTCCAGAGCTACTTATCTAAATAACTCCCTCTTTGCTTATAGAGTCTCTTTTTAGGCTTGGATTTGATCTAGAAAGTCCTCATTTATATCTTTGAAGTTTAGGATATTTTTTTTATAATCCAAATTGTCCTTTAACTCCTCCTCAGCTCTGTTCCTGGCCTCACTGCTGCACCATTTGTTCTCATTGATGCTCTTGGTTGATTAAACGTTCTGTAAGAAACCTTCACAGAAAAGCTGAGAATGCGTGCACACAAATATGAATTCCAGTCACTATTTAGGTGACTCTGTCTGAAGACAACTGGCTGCACTGGATTTTACTTATAGGTATCAGGAAAGGGGGTCAAACACAAACTTTTTTTTTTTCTCAATAGAGAACCATGGATGAAGTCAACCTCTCACACTTAAGTTAAGAGTCTATAAATCAGAGGTTAATAAACTTCTCAATGTGTAACTCCTGGTACACATTGTGTCTTAATCCTGCTAGATACCGGCAACCCCCTTAAAATACAAAATGATCTCACTCTTTACTAATTAAAACAAGTAAAAAGTAATTAAATCATTTACACAGGATATTTAATCATTTTTTTAAATCAATCATAAACATTTATTTAATTTTGTCCCTTGTGGTCCTCCATATCAGTGGATCACGATTGCAGTAGAAATCTTCTCACCCCTACTGGTTTTCTACATTAGTGGTTGTCATGATGTCACTGGTTGACAACAAATACGTTGATAAATATTCAATTTTCACAAAAGCCATCAGAATGAAACAGTATAACAGGAGATCTAGTTATTTATAGTTTTCATTTTTTGTTTTGATTTTTAGTAAATACTAAAAAAATAATAGTGTATTTTCACGACTATAAGGCGCATATAGACGTCTTTTTTTCCCCTCAAAATGTGCGGCGCGCCCTATAGTGCGGAGCGCCCCATGTGTGTTGTTACTGTGGACTTGTTGAGACCACCGTGAGAACATTAAAGGGGGAAGTGTAGGCGTGGATTGTGTATAAAAGAACAGGTATGTGCTTTATGCAGAACTTCTCATCTCATCATTGAGGAGATGATGAAAGAGTGGCTGAGGGAGGTGTATGTAAGGAGACCAGGTGGTTTTTTCCACGCATCACCATCGCTGTTAATCTGTGACTCCATGCGTGCCCATCTCACAGCCGATGTGAAAAACATGGTGAAACAAATGAACGCTGTGCTCGCTGTTATTCCGGGAGCTCTGACAAAGGAACTTCAACCGCTCGACATTGGTGTGAACCGGCCGTTCTAAGTAATGCTACGTTTCACACCGGACGCAGCAAGAGCAGCAAAATCGCATCTGCTGCTTCATTTTTACTGCTTGTACCAGTTAGTTCTGACGCGCGGCTGAAGCAGCTTTGCTGCTCTGGCTGCGCAGTGCAAAAGTGTGTCTGACGCGCGTTGGGCGGAGCTACTCTATCCTTTCTTTGCCTTGCAGTTATATTTACTGTGATGAGTGGGAATAAAGTAGTTTTAATATGTTTTTAAATGAGAAAGTCCACCTGAAAACTTAATCATTGCAGTCAGTTCATCTAGATTACCATCCTGCCTTCCAATGTTAGTTCTGTCGGAGCCGCTCAGACCCCCACATACCAGCGGTGCACTGTCAGTGGGAATCCCATTCAACAGCAGACTATGGCCGGGTCGCCTCCTCGCGGTTCACCGCGGCAGCTGGTAGGTGTTTTCATCTAAATAATCTAAACTGCAGGCACCAGAATAATAAAAGCGAACATATTCTGCCGGCAGATTTCTGCATTTTAAGTTAATTGATGCGTCAATAAACAGTTTCAGAGGAGTGATCACAGCGCTCTGTGTCATCAGCGATGTGTCTGTCTCACGGCCAGCTCCCAGGTTTGATTAATACTTTGTAATAAATAAATGAATAAAGCACAATCATACTCAGTTTTGCTCCCGCTCTATTTTTAAATACGCAGTAGAGGTATTTAAACATAATAGAGGATATTTACCGGTATATAAAACCCGCGCCCTATAATCCGGTGAGCCTTATGTGTGTGTTAAATACAGTAATGGCACACCTAACTGAGACTGAGCCTTTTAGTACGATGCGCCTCTTGGTCGTGAAAATACGGTAATAACGTTTTTGTTTTTTTTTACATTTTAGCATTCTTTGTCATTTGCAGTGTTGGTTGTAGAGCGATGTGCTTAGATTATAGGCTATATTTTTATTCTAAGGTAAAAACTTCCACCTTTTAACATTTATACACCTTAAATATTTGTAACCCAATACATCCCAAATGACCAATCCTGTCTCCTTTGGTTTAACATGTTGCTGCAGCATTTGAAGGAATCAGAGGTGAAATGTCATTAATTAATAAAATCCTGTTATCATTTCTGACTTCCAGCTAAACTGTCAGGTCCGATGCAACAATGTTATAAGATCCAGAGTTTAACAGAGCGCAGCATAAAGAGCCACCAGCATTTTCACCTATCTCAGCATCATATTAACTCTGTGAATAATTAATAGAGTAATACCACAGCCAGGCTGCTAGTTTGGAATTAACAAAATAAATCTGTACAGATATTTGTTTAGTGAAATCGCCTGAGACGTTTGTTGTGAATCGGCTCCACATAAACAAATCTTCACAGACCAGCTACGGCCAAAACCTCAGATGAATTGTGTTTTTCTTTGAATACCTACACTGTATAGTACAGTGACGTGCGGTGAGGTTCATAGCTGGTGAGGCACTGACGTCATCAGAATCAGATTTGCAAATAGATGCATAGATTGACAGCAGTTTACAGGTTATGTTTCACTTCTGCATCCTTACACATACAAACTGTAGCTCACAAAACACACATTTCCTTAAAAAACAAAACAAAATAAATGTTATTACTGTCTTACCTTTACTTATAAATGAATAGAAGTCCTCCTTATCTTCCTTCAGTTTTAAAAGTCTCTCTGTCTCAATGGAGATCACTGCCAGGGAAGAAAGCCTTCCTTGATCCGTCCTGTTCCTGCCTTATGTTTTCAGTCTCTTGAGCACCCCCTGCCATGAGGCAAGAGAACTGCCTGCCTCACCTCGAACTTGTTCTCTGCCGTTTATAATCGCTCATTACACGAAACACGTTACACAAACACAGTTGGTGACAAAAAGCTCTGTACATTATATACATAAGCCAAATTATTAGAAATAAGTTCACATATTACATTTGTTTAAACCATTTTATTGACGCCGTACAGCAACATGCTCTCTCCGCTTTGCAGCCAGCGCAGAGCCAGGGGTTGCGCAATCCAAGGTGAGGCAGAGCTCGCTGCTGCCTCACCGGCATCGCTTCCAAGCATTTGAATGGGAAAATAAGAAAATTCAGCGATTTTGAACAAATAAAAATCGAAATTGGTGAAGCTACATGAAAAATGAATATTTTTTAGTACAAACCACCGGATGAATATAACAATTTAAATTACTTTATGATTATATATTTTCTTTCTTTCCATGATGGCTGGTGAGGCACTGCCTCACCTGCCTCCCCTGACCGCACGTCACTGGTATAGTAAGAAGAGCAGCTGACTGAACCTGGTAGCAGGCTTTAGGCACATTTCCACAGTACAAAGAGTCCTACCTCAGAGTAGGCCGCTGTGATGTGCTCATACAGGCCTTGGTGATGGTGTATCGCATCTTCCAGGTCCTGCAGCTCGGACGGCAAGTCCACCTCGCCGCACGCCTTACACCATGACTCCACATTACTCATGTACTGAAGCAAGAAGAAGCACACAGACGGAGTCAGACAGCTGGGCTCATTTCAGTCCGACTACGCCAAGAATAGAAGACGTAGCAAGGAGAGGGATTTTATATTTTTGTGTGCAGTTTTAAAACGTTTCATTGCTCAACAATTCCTGCAATCTCATGTGTGAAGGAACGACACCTTTAGTGGACGTATCCACGCAGGAGGGATTAAAAAGAAAAGCTGTTAAAAAGACAAACAATTCTCCTGCATCTGAGTTCCTCTTAAAATAAACATAAATAGAGCCAGTCTGTTCTGGTTAAAGAATTAAACTGTTGTAACGTTTGCTGAAGATTATAATTTAGAGGAAAAACTGGTCATATAGCAGCAATATTCGCCGGCCCAGACAGATATGCTTAGAAATATTTATTTAACTCACGTTTATGAAAATAAATATAATGTAATGTGGATTTCTGTCTTTCTATAGTGTCCATTAAGTAAAGCTGGGTGTAACAAACAAAACATCTACAGGAAATCAAACATTACAAAAGGCTTTGAAATATTAAAACTTTAAAAAAGGGGGGTTTCTTGCAGGAAGATCCAGATTTATGAGTCTGGGTTCAGCAGGCAGATGGTCGTTAATGTGGGGCTTTTACAGCAACGGCTGGACCCTGTTTGTGACAAACTGCAACCTGAGAATAAACAACTGGCTCGTGTGCTTCAGTTACATGAGCAGATCAATAAACAGGTCAGGTTCTGTGCTCTGAATAAAAGGCTATGGAGAGCTGTAGGTTTACTTCTGTAAACCAAATAAAAAAGGTCTAATTTAAAAATGTATTGGGATAAAGAAATAAACACTCACATAGAAAACAAAATTAAAATAAGTCCAGACAGACCCACCTGGTCACATTTCTTATGGAAGCTGGCGGACATTTCTAACAGCGTGCTGCGTTCATCCAGCGCGGCGGCAAACGCCTTCCACTCCTGTTCCAGCTGTCCTGAGATCTGCTTGATCTGCTGGGAGGCGTAATGGCCGGACTCCAGCAGCCGGCTGCCCACCGACACGATCCGGTTGATGTTAACGTAAACGTTCTGCGGAGTCAGAGAGAGACGGTCGGATGGTGAGTTAAGGATACGCTTTGAAAACCCCCAAAAAAGTGGGGACAATTTTATGGACTGGATAAATCAGGACTCGGATCGAGAGAGAGAAAAAAAAAAAGTGGAGGATGCCTGGCAAAGAAGCTGTAGGATCCCTTGCCAATAGATTTCCTCTCCTTGACAGTTTCATAATAGTTACGTAAGGTCGAAAGTGGATAAAGAAAAGGATTACTTAATATCTAGCTTTGCTGTGATTATGTGGGAAATGTGCCGCTCCAAACAAACACCCAAACCCACAACTACAGGTTGACACTCAGTGCATTAACAATATGATTACGCAGCTGGGGGCATGAACTTGAGCCCAAGTGGGCGGGAAAAAGCATTTGCTTCTGCTGCACATCTGTGTTTCTGTGTGTGTGTCTTACCATGCAGTTCATTGCAAAGTGATTGTGCTGGGTTTGCAGCTCCACAGCGTGGGGGTGGTTGTTGCCAATCTCTGTGTAGCCTGCCAGGAACAAACCTTTGTTGTGCATGATCCAGTCAAACATCTGAGGCAGGAAGATGTCAGGACAGACACACAGTGAGACAAACACAAGAAAAAAAAAAGTTAAAACATCAGGGAATTAGGGTTTATTGCAGGGGAAGTGCTGGACACCAAACTGGTGAACCTGTGTGTAATTTTGCACAGCTGTAGCATTCCCAGAGCTGGCGTCTCACCAGACCAAGACAAACAGAAATGGACTGCTACTATTAGCAGCATCCTCTCATGCTCTCCTGGAAAAAAAAAAAGGAAACTTGTGGCCTATGGTGTCCTAGCAACAAGCTCCTGCTACTGCAGTGTATCCGATACTGCAGTTTTCTTTGCTGCTGCAGCCTGCTATTTTATTCCACTCACTCAAACATGGATATTTGAATTTCTCTGCCTGTCTCTTCTACTTTTCTTTTTTTGCCGCAGCTGTCATCGCCTGAGCTGTCTGGGTTGGAACCAGGGGAGTTGGCTTTGCACCTGCTGTTATCCATCTTAAAGCCTCCTAACCGGATGAAGTTGTTCAGATTTCCCCATTCCCTTAATATTCAGTTACAGAAATCCAAAAAGAAAGCCGCAAGTTCATGCGAGCTCTACGAGCGGCACCAGTCGATGCCTCGCTAATTAAGTTTAGCTGATTATTGACAGCTGCTTGTCCCACACTGATAACCAGCTCTGGCTATAGATTAGTGACTCCCAGCAGTGCACAGACCTTCTCTGCGTCCTGTTCGAACAGTCGGAGCTGGAAGCACTGATCCAGCTGGAGTTTCCGGACATGCCAGGCCTGGTGCAGGTGTTGCCGGGTGGAGTGCAGCTTATCGAGCAGCTGGCTGATCCGAGGGAGCAGGCCCTGGGTGTCGGCGTTGCAGACGCCTCCACCGCCGCTACTGCTGCTGCTACCACCGGTGCTGCCGTTACGGTTGGAGTACGCCTCGCTGCTCTGAATCCTCTGGAGCAATCTGGAAAAGGATTGTACAAAATCTTGATATGAAAGTAACTCCATCAGGATCAGGGAGTTTTTGTTGTTGTTGTTGTTGAAATCTGCACATATGTTATGAAAACTACAAGAACTTAGACAATTCTAATGGAAATGTTGGGAGAAGTGGTCAATTCTCAAAAGGCATGTCTATCATCTATTGCATAAATCCCAAATTAGTGGAGTTGACTTCTATCAGATATGTTGCCACATTTCGTCCACTTAAAGTGTGGAGCTCTGCAGCTCCTCCAGAGAAGCCATGGGCCTCTTAGCTAAATTCACGGAGTCAGGCTCTACTTTTGCAGCGGTTTCTCTTTCCACTTTGTAATAATAGATTTGAAAAGTTCTAAACGTCTAAAGCCGGGAAATCTGCCTTTTTTGTTTTGTGGAGCCGTCTGAAAGTTTATACTGTAACTAAACTACACACCGGTCCCCTATAAACTGGGTTTGGATTTCATTTAGGGCTATAGGAGTAAAAGGGGCTGAATCCAAATGCATGCACTGCGTGTGAGGTTTAATATTCTCAACATAGATATAAATTAAGGGACCTGACTGAGGAAGGCTGCTGGAGAACAGTCACTCAGCTTCCCTACGTCTATGTGAATAAATCTGAACCTTTATGACGGATAGAAATCTGTCCATAAAAGATGATCCGTGTCATTTTTTTATTAATATCTATGAGTGAATTTGTCTTTTCAGATAAATAAAGATCAGATCTGATAATTGCATTCCTAAATAACAGGAAACAGCAGCTTGATTTTTACCTAAAACATTAAGGTGTTCTGCCCTACTTGCAGATATTTTATCCAATATTTCATCCCCATGCTATAAACACCAGGCTTTTTAACTTCTATACAAGATTTTCTGGATCAGTTTATCTTCTTCAGCAGATTAGTCAGTGATTCATCTGAAAGCTTCTACTGTTAAAAAACAAAAAAACCCTTGAGTGAAATAAATGATCAACTGCTATAACCTGAATAGTTTTTTGTTGTGTTTCATAATAAAGGCAGTTAAACATTGTCCTATCTAAGTCAGCATCTAAACTATACTGTGTGTCCCTAATATCCGTTATACTGCCTGGATCATGTGCTAGAAACTTTAAATTGCATAAACCTGACCAAAAAACAAATATGATCGTTATCCAAAAGCCTCTGTCCGGCAGGTTATTCTATGAAGCATTCTTCACACTCCATGGAGACTCACAGGAACTCACTGAAACACCAGCAAGCTAGTCTTCATGGATCTATTTTCATCTTGTGAAATTTCACAGACGGTTTTTCTGATGCTGCTTTATTTCAGGAAGGATGAAAACAATGAGACCCGGCATGTGGCTCCTATTTAAGAAACGTTCGGTTTTGCAACAACTTTTGCATTTTTATAGGTTTTTTTTTTTCTGCTCTACATTTATTTAAATGCAACTTGAAAAATATCTAGAAAAAAAAAAAGAGGATCGGACAATTTAATTTGATCTACCTCTGCCCCTCAGTATCGAGCTCCTCTATTGGAGCTTTTATGATCTTCTTCTTCAGTGCAGCGTGCTCCTCTATCATCCTCCTGGCTCCCTCCAGGTCTTGGGGGAAATCTTTTCTTGACACGGTTTCCTGCATCTCTTCCAGTCGAGTCAACATCTGGGTGGCATGACCCGAAAACTCCTCGAAAGCAACTCGGACCTGATAGAAACCACAAGGTAAACAAAGCGAATCCTTTTTAAATCACCTACGCATTAAAAAAATGACTCCCTGTTAGCCTTATGTGAAACTTTGAGAACCTCGTGCGTATGGTCTGCCTTACCTCTATCCATTCCTCATGGTTGTAGTCCAGGCTGCCGTCAAAGTCGGCCGTCAGCTGGGAGGGGTCCACAACTTTCGTCAAGCCCTCAAGTGACACCATGACTGTCTGGTAGAGCAAAATGTTCCTTTGGTTCATTTTGTTTTCTAATTCTACAGCTTATTCTTTAAATCAAACACAACAAAAAACAATTTTCTTCCAAAAATTTTTTTTTTTGGCAGACAGATAAACATACAAATCAATGAAATCAAGAAGAATATATCCATCAATTGTCTGCCCCTTTTGGGTATATCAAAGAAACGACACGCAAACCAAAATAAAAAAGAAACGAACAACGACAAAAAAAGTGTCTATGTTATACCATATATCAAACCTTGACCTGTGAGCAAATTATCGCATATATCCCGTCATGCCTTCTATATAATTCAAAAATACCCCCAAACCTAAATGAACAGACCTTTTTCTCCCTCTGCTACTGAAGGTTACCCTCTCATATAAGGCCTTTTTAGTCATCAGCTCTGTCCATTCCCTGCTGATTTCCAATACCTCAGTATTAACCTACATCTAGTTAAGGTTGCTAATTGTATCCAGAGCCTCTGTCTTCCAGATAGACTAATATTCTCTGGTAACACTCCCAAAATACATAAGGCAGGAGATTTAGACAAATTAATTTGAAATGGATCAGTCAAGAGAGTAATAATTTCACCCCACAACCAAAGTGAACTAAGGTACCCACTTCTTTCTTAGCCTCGTGAGACCAACCTGATCACGCGAGCTTTCAAGGTTTCACTCACAAATCAGTCTGGAGACTTTCCATTGAAGAAAATTTGGAGCAGTTCACCAAACGAACGTCCAATCAGCGTTGGTTTTGAGGCGGGTTGAGGTGTGACGCAACGAGAAGCGCGACAGTTCAGTCTAAAGAACATGGCGGCTTCAGCCGATGAAACTAGCGTTAGCGTGGCTATCGAGCAAGTTTTATCGGAATTACAGAGTATTTCTTCACTGAAAGAAGAGCAAAACACTGCTCTGGAGGCTTTTCTCAGAGGAAAAGATGTTTTTGCTCTTCTCCCGGCTGGTTTCGGCAAGAGTTTGATCTATCAATTAGCTTGTGCCTGGCTTGAGGTTGTGTTTTCATCGTTGCTCTGTTAGTACGTCATATGCTTCGTTGATCTGATTGGTTTATTTGGCCCGTCTATCACCAACATAGGCCAATCAGCTAACCAGTATTTTCGCCCCCTCCCAAAATTACTTCAACGGAAGGTTTCCAGATGGATATGCGGAGCAAATACATCTGGCAGAGTCAGGTTACTTCTTTCTAGCATTTCCAGCAGGAATCCTTATCTGTTAATCTTAGTTTGACTAATTTACGGGTGGTTCAATATTTTCTATTAAGTATTTTGTACTGAATCATCTGTGCACGTGTTTCCCTTAGACAGACATACCAAGAGGCCAAAAGCTTCTCCCAATCCTCCTCTAAAATTTTTCTTCCAGAATTTTAAGCGCCGACTTTTATGCTGATGGCAGCTTGTTGATCAAATGGAAATCTCTAAAATGCAGCAAGTAGAACTGAAGTGAGTTTGTTATTAAAATGAGAGAGCTTCTTTGCATGAAACATGTTATAATTATGACTTCTGAACCTAAAACAATCTTAATACCCTTCAAAAAGTGAAAATTAGAAAATTAATTTCAGAGATAAAATAAGGAAATATTTCCTAGTTTGGCTTCGATGCCTGTGTGTTTCTGCTGAGCCACCTCCACACAACGCCCCCACACACATGGCCAGAGAACCATGGAGACCAACAGATAGCTTGGATAGGCCTTGTGTAGGCCAAACAATGCTGAGACGCTCTGTAGTCCTCAAATAAAAAAGCAAAGCAGCTTGAAGTGCCCAGAGAGAAAACACATCAAGGTGTTCTCAGTTTGCACTGCTTTTGATCCCAATTTTATCATGCTGCTCATTTAACATAAAGTAAGACAGTAAAGAGATTTTTTAATTTACACTAATCCAGGAACTGATTTTTGAAACAAAACAAACAAAAGACTTGGAAGAAAAAATCAAATCTAAATGAAGCAAACTCAGATTCAGGTCAAATACACTTAAAAATATATATTCTACACTCTTGTTAACAGAATAATATTCCGAATCAAGTTAGAAGGACATCAGCTACGGTCCTAAGCAGATTAAAAATAGCATACAGCAGAAACAAAAAAAAAATCAACTACTGTAATATTTAAATTAGCAATAAATAAACACCTATGAAAGATGCTAAAGCCGTTTTGATTTTAACAGCAGAAGCACCAGACTAGCCAGTATGGTACCATGAGATACCCAGCAGTAAGGTTTAAATTCCATCTATGCTGCAAATTCATCTATATAAATAGAATATTTTTTTTTACTTTTATATGATGAATGCATTTAAAGCCACAAAAGAGGTGCTAGCAATAATGCTAGGCTCGTGTCACACAAAATAATGCAATTCTTGAAATAGTAAAGTAAATCTTGCTACTTCTGCAGCTCACTAAATAGTCGTTTATTATATTATTAATTTTAAGCTAACATATTTAAATGCCAACAGACCAAACTATTTCTTTGTGGATGAAATGAATACAATCAATGACCATGTTATTTGGCAGGATGGCTTAAAGATGCCCTCAGGCCAATCTTCCTCTGACAAAAGCAAAAATCAATATGATGTCATCAGACCGCATTGAGCCAGTTTGCAAATGAGCATGTGAGCGATCGAAGTCATTTCTACATCACTGGGTTTCCTTTCCACTCTTTGGTTGAAGATTTCATGAAAACATCACAGCACTTCAACCAACAGCCGATCCTCATTTCCTGGGATGGACATTTTTCTTATCATTGAAAGTTAGGCTGACAGGCTACGGGGATTGACAAAAGTTTAATTATCAGAAATTATTTCAACTGCAAACCCCCCCTTTTTTTTGTACCTGACATGGATCAGCATCTTGATTTTCTAAGCAACAAATCTTGGCATATATCATCCCTGACCAGTGATTTAGGGTTTAAAAGTTCAATCTTCTTTTCCAGCCTAGAAGCTAGCAGATCATGCTAACAACACTGTTCAATGAGCATGCTGTAAAAACACAAGTTAGGTACTTTTTTGATTGGTGATGCATTTAAATCTGAAGTGAGAAAGAATTGTGAGACCTTATTTGACAGTAGAGCTGAAACAATTAATCGGATCAATCATAATCTACAAATAATCATCAACTAACTTAGTAATTAGTACATTTTCACCAAATGCCATTAGCTGAAAAAGCAACATACTTAGAGCAATAATTATGCCAAAATTGTAAAAATATATCAACACTTTGCATTTAGGTTGAAGAACCTTTTTTGTAGGTGAATGCGCTCCATCCAGAACTCCTCAAATGACATAGTGTTACCTTCAGCTGGTTTACATATTCTACTAATTATTCTGCAAACTGAACATTAATAAAAAAAAATTGCGGATGGATTTAATTCATTGGAGAATTCTGTATTTTTCAAAACAAGCCTAAGAGACGTGTGCGGCAATCTACCTGTGAAAAAGTGAGAGTAACTTTCAGCGCATTAAGAGGCTCCTCTGTTTTGTTTTGTTTTTTAACTTTCATCCTGTCTTTTAAGGATTTTAAAATATTTCCAGCGTTTTAAACATTATCTGTAAAAGGCTTACATGCTGCAGTATAACTATTGTGGCTAATTTTCTTTGCTATGCTAGCTAGGGTAATTACCCTAATTGCTAATATGAAATAACTAACGCTGCCTTTAACGATTATTTTAGAAATCGATTAATCTGTCAATTATTTTTTTCGATTAATCAATTTATAATCGGGTTGCCAAAGGTTCTTTAAAGAAGAGTTTTTTTTTTTTATTAAACGAGGTTTAACTAAAACTTTTCCACTTGAGGAGGTAAAGCCTATTGACAGACAAAAAAAAGTTTTAATCTTATATTTTTTTTACAATTTTGATATAATCACTGCTCTAAGTGGGTTGATCTGTGAGATAAATGCATTGTTTAAAGTCTCTAGACTCCAGTCAACGATTAATCAATTATTTAAATAGTTGACAATGATTTCAATAATTTATTATAATAATAATGTAAAAAATAATAAATAAATGTTTCAGCCCTAAAAATAACCCCCAAATGTTTTCCAACAAGGCAGAGTGATATGACGTCACTTCTAGTCTGAATAAAAATAATTAATGATCAACTACAGCTGGAAAACAAGATAAATAAGGTTCAATGATGTTCTTATATCTTCTATATTTTTGTTAAATAAAAAATCTAAATCAAATAATAAAAAAGTGAATTATCTGGCTGCAACCTCTCAATCTGAAGCCTGGAAATCAACCTCAAAGAATCCAGATGGGTGCCTCTCTATTTCAGACGATTTCATTAAACCAGCGGAGAAAATCCGTTTAACACATGACTGACGGAACCACACATGCTTGTTTATGTAATCCGTTGAATATGAAGACATTGTTCCCCTCTCTGATTACAGATGCATTCAAAACGGCGTGGAGATAAAAACAAAACATAAAAAATCGTTCTGATAATGACTGGTTCAAATCTGTCAAAGTGGAATTTTTTTCCCACTTTTACAGGCGAGTTACAACACTTCTGTTCGAGTATGAGATAATCATTATCTCTATGTTTCTATGTAGCCTTCTGTTCTTAATCTCACCTCGAATTCAAACTTAGAGCTGCCGAAGTTGGTTCTCTGTTTCTGCCAGAAGTTGTCCGGTTTGATGATGAGAGCAACGTGGATGCAGGACGGAAACGACTCCTGCAGGATCTTCAGCAGGGGCTTGATGCTGTCCCACTTGGAGCCGCGCATATCAACAATGACTGTGAAGCCATGTTTACACACCTCCTCACTGGGGTGGACAGCGGCGGAGGTATTAAAGAGTAGTAAGAGGGGAGGGGGGGGCAGAGAGAGATTGAAGAGCATAATCCAGAGGGGGTGAGAGGAGACACATGGCAGGCGTGGGAATGGATGAGAGAGGGAGGACGGAGGGGAGAGAGGGAGGAAAAGGGGGAGAGAGCGAAGGGAGAATTAAAACAGTGAGATGACGCATTTTCTATACCATAAGAAGCCTACGCGGCAAACACACGTCCCACACATCCTCCCACCTATTGTAAATCACATGAACCTGTGACAAATGAGTCACGCACGTGTCTTTTAATATAAAAACACTAATCAGCACAGGAACAGCCTCTTTAGCCTGTAGAGCTGCATCTTGGACACAAGCAAAAACTGGAAATGAATCAATAATACCAGCTTCAAATGGATGGATTCTAAAAGCAAAGACATGAATTAATCTTTTGCTATGTCACTTGTAATAGAACCTCTTTAAAAAGCTCAACTACAGAGATCCAATAAATACATTTTGCAAAATTCTGGAATCCGTGGCAAAAACTATCCTTTCTTAAAATATCTCCATCCTTTTCCAAACTGCCTCCCTTCTGTCAGTCTAGCAGAGTCAGTAAACAACCACTAGGCAGCTGTGAAAACAACATTATTCAGACACCAAACAACTCACGCTATAAAAACTGATATCTCTTTATAAACATATGCAAAACAGGACATGCTTAAAGGGAAGTACTGAATGTACAAACAATCTGATGTAGTAAAGAAACAAATGAGAGGTAACAGCAATGTAAAAAAATAAATAAATAAAGAGGATAGAGCTAAAAGGAAAAAAGAGGGCACAGAGATTTAAGGATGCAGATGTTTTACCTGGGAGGTGAGGAGCTCCTCGTCCAGTAACTACTGCTCCTGCTGCACTGCCTCAGCTACTGCGACACTTTGTTTTGCTTTCATACAAACACACTCACTCACTCACTCGCTCCCCTCGCTTGCACACACCTCCTCACACATGCGCACTCCGTTTGTCTCTTTTAATTCCCTCTCCTCTTCTCTTCTCTTTCCTCCCCCAGCCCTCCTCCTCCTCCTCTTCTCTCCTTCTGGCCTTTTTCTGATCATATCACTTTCCCTCTTGTTTTCATCTGATTTCCAGTACATGTCCCCCACTCCTAGCTGGAACTTGTCCCTTTTCTGTCTCAGCATCCCTGCATCCTTTGAAATTACTATGTCAGCAGGAAAGCTGCTGTTATCCAACTTCTCCCTCCTGGCCACTCACATGTTCATCGTAGCCTCATCACGTTTTCTTTCTTTTTTTTTTTTTTTTAATAAAATCAATCTTTAAAAAAACAACACAAATTTAAAAAAGTAATAAATGCTGAACCTGGGGATGCAGGCGAGGTATGCGATCAGTCTCCTCAGGTCATCTGCTCGTATTCTGTCGTGGTTACTACGTGATGGAAACGTTAATACTGGACCACCACGTCTGTCTCTTCCACCTGAGGGGACCAGAACACAATATTAGAGACAGAATACACCATTTATAGGTCCAGATGTTATTACGTTTTCTTCGATTGCTAGTTAACTGGAAGGCTAGGATAAATGCTGGAATGCCAGCAGCGTTTTTCTGGCTGTATGGATCAATTTTGCGTCCACTGCTGGTAAATTTCCTCAAAAGGATTGTTCCCAATTTTTTTTTACATCTCCAAGTGATCTTTGAAACAAAGTATTGCTTCTCTAGAAAAACAAACATGAACGACAAAATAGATATTGCTTTAAAAATGTTGTATTGTGAAACTATGAGAACCTCATTTAACCGTACCTACAAGATGAATAACTAAGACTGGAAATATTCCAGGTTAAAAAAGAAATTAAAGAATTGTCACCTATAACTGTAAATGATAATTTAGTACTAGAACAAAGCAAACAAGAGTAAGGCAGAATTTGTTGAAGGCAGACCTGTAGACAGGCTACTTAAGACAACTGCCAGACAATATTAGCAGCTTAATTTAGTTTTGGTTTATAACAAAAAAAGCAAAAATATTAATATTCTGACTAAATCACACTTAAAAAAATAATAGTATAAATTAGCAAGCATTCATTTGATGTTTGTCTTAATGTATAAAAACCAATGAAATAAGTAAATAAATGTTACATATTATCTATCTTATTTTGGAAGCAAGTGAAAAAAAGTGCTGTTTATCTATATAAACAAAAAATAAATAAAATGGAATAAAGATATTGGTTTAAGCTCATCTAGGCTCCATTTAAGTGAATAAATGTAAGGTAAAATAAAATTAAGTAAAATTAAAATAGACTGATGTAGTCCAGAAATGTATTACATAATTTTGTCAATTCACTGGTAATAAAGATAGGTGCAAATAAAGTATAAGTTAATTAGAAAGAAACCTGAGATTCATGCTAGCTAGCATGCTAGCATGCAATTAGCCTTGACAAAAGGTGAATTTTTGGTGCTATAATAAAAGCGCAGTGAAAAATACCAAGTAAAAAAGGACCAGCTGAGGTATAAACTATTGGAGGAAGATTACCGAGCAAAAAAGAAAGACAAAAACACATAAATCTTAACCTAATAAACTGTCCACTGCGCAAGCTAACTACCTAGCTGTGTTAGCTAGCACATAAAACATAAATATTTTTAACCCAGCAATTTTTAAATGAGTATTAATATATTTATACTATAATATATTTGAGTATAATAATAAAAAAAAAGATATGATTTAGATTTCTGAATGACATGAAGTCCATTTCATCGTTCCTTATTAGGGTCAAACGGGCATATTATCCTAACGCTACAACTAAATTGTCTGTGCTCTGACACACCTGCTGAATCAAAAGTATGAATTACCTCAAAACCTTCTAAATTATTATCTAATTAAGCAACACTTAATTAGAGATGTACTGACCGGGCCAATATTTTTGTTTGATATCAGTATTAACGTTGTTTCTTTGATATTAGTATTAGCTGATGGGGGCACACATACGCCTACTGATTAGTGCATTTAGTAGCCCACTAGCCATGCCCTGAGACAATGTGACACATCCCTCCACTTTCTATCCATTGTTTTTGCTTTTTCTGAGTTCTAAATTGTTGTTTTTATTCCCCGTTTAAATTAAGACGGGTAACATTTGTTACCAATATGTCATTAATTTTATTCAATACTGGCTTCTAGTTGGAAAAACTGGCATAAATACCTAGATGTGTTACGTGTTTTTTTGGGCAAAAATAATGCATCTCTCTTTTCTTACTAAGCTGAAACTTGGACCACATTCCACCAATAAGTCAGAAAGTCATCATGGATGTGCTCATTGTAATACCCAGAGATAAGTAGGTGCAGGCCGGCATACGATTCTCATTGCACATTTGCTGGTATTCAGTTAAAATAACAATAAGCTATTTGGAATGGTATGAAAGTTTAATCATATTGGAAAATGTATAGTAAATTTTATTGTAATGTAAATTTAATTTTATATACACAAGAGGCTGTTGATTTGTTACCAGAGACACTGTGCTCGATTTAGATTTAGGTACATTGTCAGTGATGTGTGGATATGAGATGAGATAATGCTTTCAGTGCTACCACAAATAAAAATGTAAAATTTAAAAAAACGAAAGAAAAGCAATCTTGTTTTTTAGGTTTATGTCTACTACCCAGGTATAGTTGTTAGTAGTTTTTAGCACATGCTGTGTTACACATATTGCAAATCGCAAACTCCATATTCAAAAACAAAAACCTTAAAAGAAAGCATTTATCTTATATCCAGTGTGTGCACCCATCTCTGTGACTTTTTATCAAAATGACATCAAACATAAGATAAAGATTTTTTTCTTTACTCACCAACACTGGTTGGTCAATCTTAATTTTCATGATGCAGATAGTTTTAACAAGTTAACATAAATCTGAAGATACAATAAAAAGGTAGATTTAGTCACAGTGAAAATGTGAAACATTCAAGGAGAGGATAAATATGATCTATATGTAGAGGGGAAAAAATACTGTTCAAATCATAACTTACTTAATTCAGCCAACCTTAAGAAGATAACTAATACCCGAGGGCATAAAGGGGAAAAAGGAAGATAATTCTGGGCCAAAAGCCTTCTGGCCTTAGTTTAGTGTATGAATTTATCATTCTAGTCCTTGTGACATGCATCACTGTGACTGATGCACGCCTGGTTGAAATAATAGGTCCCTTCAGATCATTCAGAGATAAACAGACACTCGTGCGGTAACGTGCAATCACACGCAGACTGTATTCGCCCCACGAATAAGTGAGTGCAGTTGTGCCTGTCTGCTTAACCAGAGGGAAAAAAATAATAATAATAAATCTAACCTTCATGTAGCTACATGCAAACATGAGATGCAGACAGCATGAGCCATTTAAAAAGGGAGCTGATTCAGGATAATAACCTTCTTCACCATTAGCCTCTCTATACTCCCTCCCTCTCTTGTCCATTTCGAACCAATTACTCCGCCAGCGTCTACCCTGGGATGTGCTGGCCGCCAGCAAGTCATCTCCATAGCAACGCATTTCTGTATCTCCCTGTAGCCATCTCAGCTTTATTTTCTCCTAGTCATTGTCCTCACCATTGTGTGTCTACTTTTGACCTTTGCAGCATATAAATCAGGGACCAAAACGAGCCAATGCTCACACATGTTTTACTTTGGAATGGAAACAATCTGCATGAGGGCTTTTTTTTTTTTTATATAGATAGATGAGATAATGCACACGTAGGAAGAATAATATTTTTGCGCTGTTTTGGCAGCCTTTAGGTCCAGGCCGGCCTGCTGCGAGTTTTCTCTGGCACAACTCGGACTTCTCCGTGTGAGCGTCAGGGTGTGTGTGTCAGACGAAGCCGGGTACAGACGCAGGCAGCTGCAGCTCTCTCCTTTGCAGTCCCGTTGACACGGGGGATACAATGCTTTTCTGTTTGTGGGTGTGCGTCTCTTCTGAGAGGAGCGTGCTTGTGTGCATGAACCTTTTTGAAGATAGGTCAGGGGCTAAGTGTTTGGGCCCCAGTCTGACCCCCTGAGTTTTTACAGGAAGACTGAGCAGCTTGTTTTCATGTCGACACTCTGTATGTGAGACAGCTGAAGCACTTAAAGAAGAGGCTGCAGAGCATCTACAGTGTAATAGCAGGTGTCTGTGTGTTGGCTCCCTGCAGTATATTTTATAAAAGCTTAATATGCTCTGATCAGACTGTTTGGGTTTGAAGATGTGTGCTAAAATAAAAAAAGAGAAAAATCTTACCAGACAGAAAAGCAACTTTCTCTTTAAGGATGGGGAGCACTTCCATCGCTCTCATCTCTTCATTTCTCCTAAATCCTGAAGAGAAACAGAAGAAACAAATGCTTAGAGTCTAGAGAAATAAAATAAATCATATTTATTTTATTTACTTTATTATTTACATTACATTATTTACTTTTTTTTTTCCTCGATTGAGGTTAGATTATGTCAGGACAGAGCAGATGCTGTTTAATTGTAATCTGTAGATCTGAATTTAAAACACATCCAGCTGGGTTACATCACAACTCATTGTCTCTGTCTCTTACACAATTGGGCAGAGAAACTGGAGAGCGAGCAGTTGGAGAAACAGTTGCAGTGGAAGAAAGAGAGGCCAGAAACAACAGAGGAAAAGAGGGGCCTTCTAGCTCTTTCTGTGCTCTACAGACACTACAGTCGCCAACCACACAACATAACACTGCTCACTTTAGATGTGCATTTCAAGCTTCTAACTAGACTTTCTTATAAAATAATAAATTACACTTTAGAGTTTGCAACCAGAACATTTTTATGTATGTCTAGTTATTTTGTTTTTCACAGGAGTTTATGCAACATGAAGTATTTCTCTTTGCAAAAATGAATGTATGCAACTGATGAAATTATAAAAGAAAACCAAGCATCCTGGGGATTTCCATTTGTATTTTCAGAAATGTAATTTAAGTCCTCCTTACAAACCCTATACCTTTATTTCCCATGGCTGCAGCAAAAAACAAAAAAACAAAAAAACAAAAAAAAAGCAATATGTGTGGTGGACCAAGGTGGACTGGAATGAAGAAACGAATGATTCCGAATCTATATAGAAAACTGTAAAAGTTGATCTGTTTAGCTTAATTCGTGTGCTTCTAATATAGAAATTTAAGACCACCACTCCTGTAAAAACTTCCAAATCTTTTTAATTTTTTTATTGTTAGTGCATATAAATATATAAATAAATAAAACAAAACACTGGATAGTATCTTTAAAGCTATGCTAGGAGCTAACATAATGCTATTGCATATAAATTAGATGTAAGCGCAGTAAGTGATACAGTTCTGTCCAATTGTGTGCAAAGTTTGAGCTCCATAAAGCCTCTTTCCCACTGAAATTAGCGGGTTAACACAGATTTTTTAAACTTGGGTTGACCCACTAACAATCGCCATTTAGCTCCCTTCACATTGGTATAAAAATATGGGGCGTGACCGAAGCTGGAAAGCCGCATTGGCCTCTGTCCCCCTACAACTGTCTGTCTAGTAACTAAATCCCACTGGGTTAGCATTGATTATGACCTCAGTGCAACAGAAATCAGGAAAGTCAACAATGGGGACCAACATGGAAAGGAGCCAGGGCGTGGTAAATGTTCTTTATTGTTTCGCTTTTCTATCTGTCTGAATCTCTTTTGCCAGTTTGCCGAATAAATGCAGAGTTGTTTTGGCTTGTTAGATCAAGACACGACTGACACATTGTTGTGACTTACGTTTGTTGCGCTCAATGATATCACGTAAATTAGCGGATCGACCCAGGTATGATGTTCCCCCTGTATGCTGATTGGAGCAGAGCCATTTGAAGGCGATTTTAACCCGGGTTGCTTGCTGAGTTTTTTTGACATAGGTAAGTGAGCTGTTCTCAATGCCACTAAAAGCTAATTGTTTGCTGGTTTAAACTTTTTTTTTTTTTGGCCAGTGGGAAATGGGTACAAGTTATGAGATGTTGATTGATTCCCAACAATAAACTGTTTCTTCAATAGATAAGAGAAGTCAATCTCACAGCTAGCTACTTGAGTTGATACAGCAGGAGAGTTGATAATTGCATTTAGGATTGCCACGGTTGATTATATTTTGTCACTATCAACCTTTGTATTCAGTATAATGAATTTCTCTTGATTTCTTCAACAGTTCCTCAAATGTAATGCTAGTTTTAATCTGCAAACCCTGTGTGGTAAGATGGCTGCAGCTTGCAGGGATAATTGCTTGTCTGTCTGTTTCCTGCATATGTTGCTCATAGCTCAGCTTAATTCTAAGCAATAACGGCAGATAAAGATATATCAAATGTTTTCAACATTTCCAAAAAAGTATGACAGTACATCACATTAACTGGAAATAAACGGGGTTGGGTATGCAGGGCGAGGTTTCCTGGTTTATCAGAGCAGCGAAAGCAGGAATAATGAGAATCTTAGAGGAAGTGAACCAGAGACAGTGTGGCAACAGTTATTACAGTATCTTAAACTATTAATGTTTTATGCATCATCTCATAATGCGTCTGCAGATGAAATCCTGGCACATCAAGATTGAGACATTTTGCTGACAATGTAGTCCACATTTTAACTAAATGTGACTCAAAATGAGAAACTCTCTGCTTATTTTCTTACTCAATAAAGGTTAAAGGAAAGCTCTAGACTAGGACCTCAGACAACTCCTTTAATTTTCATCCAACATTCCTGACAAAAACAAATATCAGGCAAAACATGTTACTTCACAGAGATCTGATAAAAAAAGCCAATAATAATGAGCTCTTTTGTCTGCCAGCAGTTGATCTGGATTTGGTGCATCCTGGTGAAGCCTTTATCAGCAGATTTAGCCAATCAAAGCACAACAAGTTTTCTTCTCAAACATCAGCCTTCCAGTGCAGTTCCTTTGATCATCTAGCTCTGCAAAGACTATTCAAACTAAACTAAGCCACCCAATTTGGTTTAGTTTAACCGCAGGTCAACTGAAGGAAGCCCTGACTTTAGCCATCAACCTGTCTTTGCATTAGGAAAGTAGGGAAGCTAAATTTCTCTTTTAATGAGAGAAGAAAATGTTTCTAAGATCAATTGATATTTCAGGTCAAAAGAAAATCCATCCTTAGTTCCTGCTCTACTAGGATCATTATTGTTATTTCCAGGAAATAAGGGTGTAAACTTACTGAGGCCAACCATTACTCCAACCACACGAATAACACTTAAAAAATTCATGAATCATTATTTACCTTAATGAGACATTAACATATGCACCATATAAGGAGGTAAGTTCCTCAGCTGTGATTGAGTTTCAGCAGCTTCTATTAAACCAAGACAACTATCAAAAGAAAAGCATGAATGTCAACATAATAACTGTATCCGTTAAGCCTCCATCTGCCTTCTTAGACGACTAATCTTTGCTTATGCATTATGAGCACTTACTCATTCACGTCTGTGTGATGAGTCTCTCAGTAGTTTCCCTCACCTTCACGCAAGCTTCTTCCTTCCAAATACTCTAACAGTTTCTTGTGAAAAAAGACTGAAATGTTTGCCTTGTGAGCCTCAAGAGCAAATATTGAAATAATGGCAGAAGAATCTGGCAGGAATAACCAGCACACCTGACTGTCACTATATAAATGTCAAGTTGTAGTGAAATATAAAGTTGGGTGTAAGTTCTGCTGGGAGATATTCAGTGAGTGAAAAACCTCTAACTGTACACAGACTAAGTGTTCAATATAGTGATTAAAGTCCCATTGGATGTTAAGCAGACAGGACCAAAGACAGGCCCAGATTTTGTCCTTCAGACAGAGCAGACGCCTGGTCAACGTGACTGATGATCCAGACATGATGTGTCCACCCATGCGTCTCTGTGACATTCAGCTTCCCCTAGACTTGCTCCTCGTTTCCTCTATTCTTAGATGTTAGAGTCAAGACCTTCTCTGAAGTGGTAATCTGAACACTGTCCCCAGAAGACCTCTGCCACATTTTTGGACAGCAACTTGACCCATAAAGGAGTCCCACTTGGTGAAGTGGTTTAAGTCTTTGACTGTGTCATGGGGGGCCCCGTGTCTCTGAGCACTTACTATGGTGACCCCTGAATAGGGCTGGACTTACGGCCAAAACATGACAATATTCTTCATTTCAGTTGACATAAACAAAATAAAAGCCTTAGTAAGACTGCCAAGAAAGTCAGCTATATATGTCTGTACAAACTTATAATAATTATTTTGCCAACTTTATGAAACATTTTATAAATATTTACTTTAAAAAACACAAAACTAAATAAAACCAAGAACCAGATGATCTATCTGCAGACACCCATCACCAGTATTTATGGAGTCCAAACTGGAGTTTTTTAAAAAAAATCTTTTAAGGTAATTTAAGTATTTTAATCTGTACTTCAATTTAAATGTTTATGGTATGAGTGAAGATTTCTACATTTTTGTAGATCTACTCTACACTTGATCTTCAATATTTTTACCAATAAAATAAAAAGAAAAACCTCTTGATTGCTCTGATGCTAAGTTAACGGTAACTATACAACTCCTCGTTGGTGCAAATTTCTAATTAGCCAATCAAATGACAACAACACAATGCATTTAGGCTTGCAGAGATGGTCAGGATAATCTGCTCCAGTTCAAACCAAAAAGCTGGTTGTTGGTACCAGACAGGCTGGTCAGAGTATTTCAGAAACTGCTGATCTACTTGTATTTTTACACACAACCATCTATAGGGTTCAGAGAATAGCCCAAAAAAGAGAACATTTCCAGTGATCGGCAGGTCTTCGGGCCAAATTCCTTTTTGATGCTAAAGGTAAGAGAATGGCCAGACTGGTTCGAGGTGAAAAAGACAGTAACTCAAACTTGTATGCTTTAGAACAGAGGTATTCAGAAAAACATCTCTGAACGACCAATACGTTGAACCGTGCGGTGGATGGCAGCAGAGGAACACACCGGGTCCCACTCCTGTCAGATAAGACTAAGAAACTGAGGTTACAGTTCACACAGGCTCCCCAAAATGAGACAATAGAAGATTGGAAAAACTTTGCCTGGTCTGAGAGTCATGATTTCTGCTGCAACATTTGGGTGGTAGGGTAAGAATTAGGGGTGTGCAAAATAATCGTCATATCAATGCATCGCGATTCTAATTCTTGTGATCTACTGAATCGATTCTTGATGGCAAGAATCGATTCTTAATTAAAAAAAATTAACAAATAAAATACATTAATGGTTGGCGCACATCAGCCAAATCAAGTGGAATACAACCTCCAGTCTAGCAGATGTCGCTGCGGATGTGTTGACGCCTGCTGCTTTGTGCCGCAAGCATTTCCGGCTGCGGGATACTGAGA